AAGGTCTGCCAGAGTCGTATACGGCTTGATACAGTTTTAGAAACGGCGTTTCAGCTTGTTCGCAAGATTGTTGAGAGCCATGACATTGATCAACAGGAAATCTTGTCGCCGTCATACACGATATTTCGAGAAAACTAATATATGTACACAAGGGTATGAGGCATCTTTAAATCTACCTTTGACCTGGTGAAAACCGATTGGTAGGGTATGCGCTACTCCCGACGTCATGTATATAAAGAGCTCTCCATACAGCAGCTGCCGTTTTAGGTAAAACCTTGTAGAAAGGATATTTCGATGAGGGCTGGAAAACCTTTTTCATGTCGATAGCTTCAAATGTTATAAGGCTCATGGTAGTAACAATCGTCCTATAATACCATACACGTGGTATCGGTATTCTACTAGCAGCTTGATTCAAGTTTGTGTGCCACTGTAGTACTGATAGTACGGTCTATAACAGGTCAATGAACAACGATTATGGTCCGCGATAGCAGCAAGTGTGGTAAGTATTTAATTGTTCACCCCTAGCTCATCACTATTTAGTCCGAAAGTCACCTCGTTAAGTAAGCTAAGCTAACTTCTTCACCAGGATAACTAAAAAGGCAATCACGACCACGAAGATCATGAAATATATATATACTTCGGGTTTCCGGTAAAATAGACCCCCGAACTCCCTCTCATTCTAAATAGAATTGATTTTGGCGGCTTCAGTCGGAACCTGGTAGTTTTGGGGTCCTTCTGCAGGATCGTAGTGAGTTTGGAGTCCTCCTGCAGGCCCTTCGCGGTGAAAACGCTTTTGAATCTGTCGAAAATATTAAGAATTCGCTCTTCCCCCATGTCATCTTGGACGGCAACAGTCTTCATAGTGTTGTGGTTGCGAAGGGTAGCGGTATCACTTTCGATGGGGGTCTTGCTGGCGTCGAATTGTAGATTCTTCTCTTCGACGCGTTCCTCATTCTTGGTGACGTTACAGAGGCACATACTGTGTGTGGCCACCACCAGGAGAAGCAACAAAAAGGTGATATGCATCGGCAAGTTGCTTGTTTCAATGTGTGATAGATAGAAAGCTAATTGTCGAATAGCTTATACTTATCATATACCGATCGGTCCATCCGGCGTGTACAAGTGACCTGTCAATTCTATGCTTCGTGGCAGTATAAAGTAAAGCAGTATAAGTGATGGGACCGTGGTCAGTTTGTAAATTAACCTCCTAAGACATGCATATGAAAAAGAACACGTGCTGCGGCAGCTGTTCCTAGCCCATCCCAATCCCAATGACGATTGGACAACCAATTAGAATGATGTCCTTTACGGAGCTATCAAACATAGAATGCTAATTCCTGTGGTCGTTTGGAAACCATAATCATGTCGACGATATTATTTTGGTGCATTCTATCGGCTACATACGCGAAAAGCGACAATAATGTCTGCGTACCGATCGTTTCGCATAACTGATAAATACCACTTCCCAATGTATGCCTTCAAGCAACAACGAACAAAAACGGAGATATCCGAGAGCCAGGGGGTAAATGCCACTCCCGTGTTACGCAGTATTTGGTTCCAGGAAACAAGTCAATCTCATGACGTACACCCCTATCAGGAGGTAGAATAGACGGTGGATCATATCACACCACGACCTAAAATTCCTTAACTAAAGGATAGTAGGGATCTGAAGGGTTCTTCAGAGTAGATGCCCCACTACACGCACTTAGTGCCGCCTTTGTGTCTTCGAGTATTGTCTCATCGACAAGCGAGGATGAGTTCAGCTCAAGGTTAGGTCGAATAACCACCATATCGGATAGATCTCCCTCCTTCAAGTCTTAATGAAATTCATCCACAGACATTTCGTCTAGCTCGAAGAGAGCATTTAATGACGGGAGGGCCTTAAGGTCAACCTCGCCATCTACATCACCTGTCACTCCGTTGATCAGGGTGTACAGCTGTTCACTGACATTATTACGCGATGAAATAGACGCCTTGCGTCTCGCAGCCGCCATCTAGCAACGCTGCCGTTTCATTGACGAGACCGTACCTTTTAAAGACCATAATCCCGAAGGTCGTTGGTTTCCTCGACCTTAACCTGCTCTATACGAGAGCTGATGTCATTATCGATATCAAGTGGCTCAATATTACTATGAGTTTCACTCAACGGAGTACGTGCCGTTCCACTAGAGGTCACCGAGCTATGCTCGACAATATTGTTGTTTACGTTGGATCTTATCAACTCGGACACCTCAATGTCCAGCACGTTAACTAATTCAGTTAATGGCTCGCGCCAATAGAGCTTCTGTTTTTAAGCGAAGGGTGGGTTCATGACTCTCCAAAGCTTCGCTAGGAACATTGCGCGTTGCGCCTAAAGTTTTGGATCTCCAATCGATCCACGGCTCATGGCGTTCCAGCCAGGCCATACCGAGAATGAGATCATATCTCGAGTCCAAATCTAGGACAAGACAGCATTCAACCTTATTGAAGTCTAACAACTTCACACCTAAGTTCAACGAAATTTTAGGAACGGTGACACGTACACCTGTCGCAAGACGAACGGTTATACTGTCACCCTCTTGCGCTTCTAGCGCCTTAGCATACAGCTGACTCCTTTCAAGGTAACTACGTCGGACATAATTACCCGACGCCCCTACGTCAATTAGAACTGATCATAGCTTCTCAAAGCCTTTAACGGTTGCCGACACAACCAACAAGCCTGGCTTTTATTCCTGTTCCATGGAAGCTTTCACAGAACCACCTGGGGCTAAGCCCTGTTTACCTTTACCTCCTAAAGATTCAACAGAACTTAGTTCTTTCCCAGTAGGGCGCCCCGCGCCTACTGGGAGTCGACATTTTCCCCTGCGGTGCTCGCCTTTTGGCTAAAAGCAGGGTAACGGCTCTGCCGATTCTGACGTTGCTTTCGCAACATATAGCTATGGCGGAGTTGCCTAGTGCGGAATCACATGCAACATCCACGGATATTACCTTGCTTCTCAGCAGCTTGAAGCTCAGCTTCTTCAGCATAACTGAGGTTCATGGGTTCCGCCCTGTTAGAGGCATTTGAGTTATACCATGGCAGACCATAGCGAACAGATTTAAAAGTAAATTCAGCGTTGAACGCTATGCTCACTGCCTCTTCGAAGTCGAGGGCTGGACACGAATAAACTCTGTCCTGGCGACCACAGTGCGAACTCCACCCATAGAAATGGTTGCTCGGACTTCCTCTGCCAGAGGGTCCTGCTGCATATCAGCAATGAGAGTTCTCAACTCTTGGACATAGTCCGACAATTCTTTCTTACCCTGTTGAGTAGCTAAGAAGCGTGAGCGCACACGATAAGCCTGATTAGGCGGTGCAAACTTACAAGTTAATTGCTTTTTAAGCATTTTCCATGTGGGGAATGCGGCATTTACAGAGACATCGCTCCTTAGAGCCCACTTTCTTGCTCTTCCACAGATCTTAGAAATGGCCAAGCCAGCTCGTTGCTTATCTGACACAAGCATGGCGGCATCCATTGCCATTTCAACTTCCCGGATCCAGAGGAGAAGATTTTCTCCCTCCTTCCACGCAAAGGTTTAAACGTTCTAACGAGTGGACGAGCCTTTGGCTCTGCGTCGGGCACAGGTACCGAGATATTTTGCGCAGGTGCAGCTGACGCTTCCTGGTCGAAACACCTGCCCGAGTAGCGTTGCCTCATAACGCATGGAGGCCTTAAGGCGAGCATTGAGGACCTTTGGGATCCTGAACCTAAAGAGCCTCGATCAAATCGGGCCCAAAGAACGCAGATAATTTATCTAGCGCGAGTCGTTGCGCCTTAGAGAGGTGATTTTGACTCTCCATGTTCACAGAGGGTCAGTCAGGTGTCATATTGACTACAAGTGATACCAAGTGTAGCGGAGCTACACTGTAGCTCTAATTCAGATGAAGACTTATTAGGCTCAAAGCCTCTTAGCTTTTACAACTAACTGGCTTATAGCCTTTGTAGTCTTTTTTTAGAACTAAATATATGTTGATGGCTCAAGCTGCTTAATTTTAAGGAACTAATTAAACGACTACGAAGTCTACCCGTTCTAAGAAAGTAGGAGGGACTTTTATTCTACAAGCAATAAACTTCAGGTTCAGAGAACCATCGCACAGAGTGCAAGGACAAGCTAGGAGCTAAAAGGTTCAAAGAACTAACGAAGTGCACAAGAGAACAAGTCAGAATGACTTGCGATCTTAAACTCAAAAAGAGAGCTGATTTAATTTATGAACTAAGATTTTATGAATAATCCTCCTCTAAGTACCCTACACTATAATAATTACAATTACTGTATAGTAATTATAGTATGTCATTGCTTGTATCTGGATATGAAATCATTCAATTATCAGTGTTTGTTGTACTTATTACTACTGTATTAATTGTGAAACTGATACCAATAGTATAAGGTATAACTAATACCTTATAATATCATTAATCTTTAATAGCTTTTTTGAAGGATCGGTATTAAAAAAAGCATAATATGCAATATAAAACTCAATCGTAATGTACTTTCGGTGTGATGTTACAACCGTCGTGTAACCCCGTTACAATCAAGCTAATATAGAGTTTTTACTGACAATCAAAAACGATGCAATCAAGTAAACACGGCTTGATTGTTGTTGGTACTAAGCATAGATACGGAGCGGCTTGAAATAGCTCCTTTGCTGGGTAAGTAACGTTTATCGTCAAACACAATATAAGTGCACATAAAGGCAGCTTTCCTGCGTGAGTATACATTATACAGTGTTTTTGTCTGCTTCATATATGTCGGTCGTCCCTTTTTTTGTAAACCCGTTCAAGCTCTCCAAAATATTTTGTTAAGTAAGCTTTACGAATATAAACAAATATATTCTAGGAGCCCCAGGCTGGGGCTCCTTGCTGGAATCCCTCTCTCGTATAGTTTGTCACATTGAAATATTTTGATTTTCTTTCCAGTTGAGAAAAACATCACATGAAGAAATTAGTTTCTCAGTTAAGAAAAAGTATCCCATTAGGAAAATGAACATGACCGATAAGAAGAAAGAACAGCAGGAGAGTCTTGCGCAGCTCGTGCGCGACTTGGAAACGAAAGAGACTTTGTGTCACGTCAAGGAATATCCTGAAGTGGAACTAAAGAAGTTGAATGAATACGTGAAGAAACACGGTCCACTCGTGAACCCCGTTTTTGGTGAACAACCGGCATTTTTCATCGACGAAGGCCGCTTTGTTCCCTATCGAATGTTCGTGTACGGCAATTCGATAGTGACCACCAAGATCATAAGAATCTTGGATGAATGGGCGAAGTGGTCAGGAGATGGAGGCAGAGTAACCATGCAAGGAGAGTTCATTTCCGGCACTGATGTTCGATTGCCGGCAATCGCGTACACGCCTCGTGACACACATAGAGGTTCGTCGAATGGGTCAACGTGGACGTACCATGGAGAGCCGTCGCTCCTACATTCGTTGTTGAGATTGATAAGCTCTCTGGTCAAGGCTCCCAGCGCAGCGCTCTCGATCGAAAGATGCGAAATGAATATTTCAAGCATGGCGTCCGTTTGGGTTGGCTGATCGACCCACGCCCAGGTTATCAGCACATGTATGAGTACTATCTCGACGAAACTGGAGGCGTGCAATGCTCTGACAACACTGCTTGGAGAGATCTTAGTGGTGGCAATGTTCTTCCTGGCTTCACGCTTATGAGTACGGTTTTGGAGATGGTCCTGAATCAGGATCCAGGATCGTCAGAAGAAGAAGAAGTTGATTTGGAATGTCCTTATCCAACATGCAGACAACGATTCAGATATCCTGGTGCTTTCACCGCTCACGTTGAATGGCACCGTGCCGAACGTGCTCGTCAGAAGTATTTAGCGAAACGAATGTAAACATTTCCGTTTGCGCTCCCTATTCGTCTGGTATAGCAGAGCCTCGAGCTCTGCCGTGTAATACACCACAGTCGCGTCATTTTATATTAACACCCAGCAGTAGATAGACTGCTTTACGGCCTTATTGTGTTGTTGGTTACCGCAACGTAGTCGCTATGCACGTAACTCATTTTTTGTCCGAAGATTAAAGAGCTACTCTTTAACAACGTCAGAAAATCCTTCGTTTTGCTACTGCGTCATATTCCATGCCGTTGTAACGGTGGTCTGTTCAGGTTAGTTTTAAAAACTCTTTATTAAGTAAAAGCTCAGCACTATCAAACTTGTTTAATGAGAATTGCTTCGCCAGACCGATCACCTGCTCCGAAGCTTGAAGTTCACAGCAGAAATTGCTACGAGAGATTAATTCTTGTTACTTTATTAAGACGGTGCCGTAACACGTTGCGTATTTTTGTGAATATACACACGCTTGCTATCTGCAGACGGAGCGATGACGAGACAACTGACGAGCTTACATGATAGCTATAAAATCGTGATCAACAACTTCCGGTAGAAGCTGGACCACGTGCCAAGCATGTTGACGGACTCCTTATTAAGCACGAAATTCTCCAACTTGTTGTCGTCTCCTCGAGAGTGGTGCCATCGATACACTGTCAAGTCATGAATCGTCAAAGTGGTTTTGGCGTCCTTCTGAGTTGCTACGCGTAGAGGTTACAACTTGTTGCTCAATTAACACGTTGCCTCCAGACGTTGTGTGGCATAATATCGAGATATACAAGGATGCATACGATAGCAGTCTGTATAGCACTGACGGAACATTATAATTCGTCGAATCTTGGTGACGTCCATTTTGACGGAAGTCATACATTCGCTTCATGATGACCGATTCAAGAAGACTCGAGTACGCAACCTTCTCTCCAACATTGCACAATTATTGGTGTCGTTTTCCGGATGGTGACACAGTCAACTTGTTTCCTGCAGCATAATCATTATTACTTTTTCAATAACGAGATATGAGGCGATGATAAAGGCCATGGCTTAAAAATCGTCGAACCACTATCGTTATTATGATGCTCAAGAGATGTGTTTACTTGACATGTGTTCAGCGATTTATTTGTATTTAAAAGATCGCTGCTGTTCTGAGCAAAACTAACGTTTTAACCCGGTTCAGGTTAATGTGCAGCCTCACCACCGTTTCGTGCGTAGACACACACTCTCTTCGTCGTTCAGCAATTCCTTATATTCGAATCCAAATCTGTTTACGCCGTCCGGCGTTGTTCGTACTGACATTTCAGTCACTCGCAACTATCGGATAATAGTCTGCTTCTGGTTCTCGTCCCGTCGCAGAATATACTTTCCAGATTGCAGGCAGCAAGTTGCGAAGATGTAAGAACTAACCTCCTTATGATCTCCACTTAGTCCATATGTTAAAAATTCCGTAGCAATAGACCATAATCGTGGCGTATCACTTGCATACCACCGGTCGAGGCAACTGGTTGCACAGCTGAGCCTTGGCAGTATATACGAGTACGTATGGTATCTCTTGCGAAAATCTATGATGCCAGCTGCGTCTGAAACTTCCGGCATGCATTGCTGTGTACAATCTGTCAAACACCATTTATCTAATAGCCTGCAGATGCGGGCGAGTCGTGTGTGCGAGCGGCTGAAGCGAAAGATCTATCATGATCCAGGTGCAGCGTGCACTCTTAACTTTTATACTTTTACATGTAAATGTAAAGGTCACCTCCAAAATACAGGTGTGCTGCCGCTAAAAATTGTATGCTGGCCAGCCCCGAGTAAAAGGCCTTTTTGGTCGCCTCTTCAACTGGAGCGTAGTCGTTACATATAACCACTGGTGGCCGTCAGCTTCTCCCTGTAGTGCCATGAAGTGGTCCAATGGTCCTCGGCGCATGGTACAAGTTTGTGAAATTCGACCTTGGGTGCAACAGTACTTTAACTCCTCCTGTCTTGTGCAACGCAGCTCCCCAATAGGAAAGTGGCTGACTGTTCCTTGGGTTATACCCATCCGTTTTAATTTAACTTGCCAGCAAGGGTGTTTAGTAGTCATCATGACACAAAATAAAGTTTGTAGGATATGGAAATGACAAAAGCTAGAAGCAATTGCACCTTCGGTCTTCGATTTGGGTCCAAGTCTCCATCTCTAGTATTGCAGCCATCGGCTCCTCCAGCTAAAATGAGCTCTATAGCCAAACGTAAATGCAACGGCTTCTTCTTGCCCCTTCCAGTCGTGAGAGTTGTGATGGTCACCATCGTTTTTCGAGCCGAGTACGGCACGAAGTTCATCCATGTCACATAATTAAAGGCCCTGCTTAAGTTGTCGGGGTCAAGCTCTTGACGGATTACGTCGACTTATCTTCTCCAGAAGCCACTTGTATGTCCTTCGTCTGGATCGCCTTTATCGTCCTGCTAGCCGAGGTGCTCGTCTGGGTCGCCCTTATCACATTCATCGTACTCAATATTCCGGCCGCCATCTTGCATACCAAGAAGTTGTACTGGCAATAGGCGGCAGTCTTCGGACTCATTGCGCTTTTCAATGACCTAAACTGGAAAGTTCATTTTGCGTAAACAGAAGCGGTCATTAATAGGTGCGAGAGTATACATTGACTGAAGTTTGGCAACGGAATGTCAAGACGGTTGCTGAGGTTGTTAGCACACCAAGTAAGAGGTGGGGTTATGTTATGCATTATTGGAAACAACGTATTCGCAGACGCCATGAACTCAACATTTGTTTTTACAGAAATTCACTTAATCTGTCGTCTATGTCAGTGTCATGAAAATACCGTATACATGTATACCGTGCTGAAAATATCATTCAAATATTATATTATATTTCCCTAATGTACAGTATTTTTAGGAATAAGTACTTCTCGGAGATTTGAAGTAACGTTAGTGCGTCATACCGGTATTTCAGAGGTCCATCCAATCCTGTAATTCATTCAACTCACGCGATAGTAAAGATGGAGACTACCATACCAAAGGAAAATAAATATTTAATTATGGGGTACAATGTGGAGTTTCCAAGTAGTAAACAGCCATTTCCAGCACAATTTGCAGTAATGAACAAAGTGTTAACGGCTCTTAAAACCAAGCAACATGCGCTGCTTGAGTCTCCCACTGGTAGTGGCAAAACTCTAGCATTATTGTGCTCAACTCTGACGTTTCAAAAACAATTTTTTCACGATCAAGTAATGGCTTTAAAGAAAAAGGAAAACGATCCAAAGTTTCAAGAGCAGGAGGCTAAGAAAGAGGCTCAGGAAGCGCAATTACGGGCATTGGAGGTACAGAGAACGATGATGGAGGCTCAAGAACAGATTGCACAAGCGCGGAAGCAGAGACAAAAGATTGAAAATAATGAATTGAATGTTAACAATATTCAGAAATCAACTATAGAAACAGTTCAAAAGGAGGAACAAGACGATGAAATGATAGCTACACAACCAAATCTTGACGGACAATGGCTGAGTACGAGAAAACGAGAGATAGAGAGAGGATTCACTGCAACAAAAAAGACGAGAAAGTTGCCTCAGTCATTCGCCATTGCAGCGGAAAAAGTAGATACTTCTCAATCGGTGCAGGATAAAGAGGTTGACGTGTCGGCTGCTGGATTAGACCGCAAAGCCAAGGAGAAACAAGTGGTGCCACTGCAGATTTTCTTCTGCTCACGAACACACTCGCAGTTAGCACAGGTGGTGGATGAGCTTAAGAATTGTCCTGTGTCGTATTTCGACTCACCCGAAGACTCTGACACCTTCACAAAACAGCTGCAGACGTGTGTACTTGGCTCTAAACGAAACATGTGTGTCAACCGCAAAGTGAATCGCGATCCGCTGCAGGTGGACGACAAATGTCAACAGGCACGTGAGGAATCGTCGTGCTCGTATTATAGAAAACGCAGCAAAGTCAGCGACTTGCGCCGGACCGTGCCGCCTGTGTGGGATATCGAAGACATCGTGAAACTGGCACAAAAGCACCGTGAGTGTGCCTACTTCTACGCGCGCGAAGCGCTAGACCGTGCAAACATCGTCTTTGCACCCTACAACTATCTGCTGGATCCGTCGATCCGCGCGGCGGTGGGAATTAAGCTCGAAGACTCAATCATCGTGCTGGATGAAGCACATAATGTGGAAGATACATGTCGATCCAGTGCCAGTGTCGAGGTGACTACGGATGTATTGGCGGCGTCAATTAAGGCGTTTTCAATCGTGATTAAGCACGGCAATCGACCAGAGGCATACAAATCCCTACTCAAGCTGCTGAATGGTATCAGCCGTTGGTTACAAGGCGTGGATTCGAATGCTAATGCCATTCTTGAGTCCTCAGGTTATGAAGAGAAAAGTAAGGTCTGGGATGGCGTTGATGCACTAGCCATGCTTGCAGAGTATTCTGGCCTGACAAAAGACAGCTTTGCCCAAGTGAAAGCGGACGTACACGAAGTACGCGAGTATGAAAACGACTTGGGCAATCGGGAGGCTGCGACAAACCCAACAGGAACCTCAATTCTCTTAGGTGCGTTGGCATTGACAACGGTGCAAAACATTATGAGTGTAGTGGATTACATGTTCCGCGACAATCTCAAGTATATCGACGATTTCAAGCTGGTGGTAGTAAAGTCTAAGTCATCGTGGAAAGAAAATGCGAGTTTCCGGTCTCCCACTAAGAGAAATGGCGATGAGTGGGAACTAAAAATGTGTATCTGGTGCCTGAATGCAGCCGTGGCATTCTCTGATATTGCAAACCAGGCGCATAGCGTCATTCTTACGTCTGGTACATTGAGTCCCATGGAGTCATTTGCTGGCGAGTTGGGTGTAAATTTTTCCATACGTCTTGAGGCGAACCATGTCGTAAACATGCGCAAGCAGGTGTTTATTGGAGCTGTCATGCACGGTCCTGGCAACGTCGACCTTCAGTCCACGTACAACAACCAGCAGGATCCGAGATACCAAGACTCGATAGGTCATTTGCTATTGCAGTACTCACAAGTGATTCCAGGCGGCATTCTCATGTTCTTTCCGTCCTACTCGCTGCTAAATAAACTTACAACACGCTGGAAGAAGACGAAGTTGTGGAGTGAAATCGAGCAGTATAAAATTGTTTACTCAGAACCACGTAACGCTGGAAAGGATTTCGATGCCCTTTTGGAAGATTACAAGAACACGATCACGAAATGCTCAGTGGTTGTAGCAGCTGGTGACAATGGCAGTGTAGCACCAGAAAACCAGACTACAGGCGCCATCTTTTTGGCGGTTTATCGCGGCAAAGTGAGTGAGGGTATCGATTTCTCGAACGACAACGCACGGGCTGTTCTTTGTGTGGGAATCCCCTTTCCAAGCGTAAAGGAGTTGCAAGTGTCTCTGAAGCGCAAGTACCAAGACGAGAAGAGCCGTCTGAACATGATGCTCGTGAATGGCCATACTTGGTACCAATTGCAAGCGTTTCGTGCGCTTAACCAAGCACTCGGACGTTGCATTCGCCATCGCCAGGATTATGGCGCCATTATGCTGCTCGATTCTAGACATCGCTTTAACAAGCATACCAAGTCGCTTTCGAAGTGGATGCGGCCGTTCATTCAGGAGTTCGAGCACTCGCAGATGTGCGTGCCGATGTTCAGTGATTTTTTTCAAAGGAATTACTCGGAGCTGCTACAGCCCATGCCGTCACCCCCGGTCGAACCAGCTGTATCGACGTCGCCAAAGTGGAAGATGAAGCGAGAACCACTAGTTCTCGAGTACGAGGTCAGGGCAAGAAGGGCAAGAAGAATAGCGCCAAGGCAAACCGCATAACGACACCCTCACTTTCATCGACCATGGCAACCGTAAAAAAGGTTATGGCAGAGCGAAAGCAGGAGTCGAATCTGCAAAACAATGTTTTTTCGATATTTCACGGACAGGCTCCGAAGAAGTCAGAGAGAGAAGACTAATAATTGCTTCAAGAAGTATCCATCCATTTTCTTGCAAAATAACAATTGTCAATGCGGCTCTTCGTTGTCTCGCAACACCTTCATTTACAAAGTCAAAATTCTACACTTGCGGTACATGTTCAGGGTAGATGGCCTTGCATTAAGGGTTATACAATAGGTGGTGACGCTCGTGCTGCTCTTCCCGTGGTTGCTCTTCGAGTCAATCATAGAGAGCGGATCCTTGAAAACGTTATTGACAACGCACAAAGTCTCATAGGAGTCCCAACTTCTGTCGTTATCTGTGACATCCACAGTCCCGTCACGTCTGGAAATAGCACTTATGAAGAGGAACGATTCGAATCTAGTCACAAGTATGGATTAAATAAGTTAGAGACGACTAAAAAGTTCAGTTACTCTTATTCCTCTTGATGTAGCCGTGCCGAAAGACATTGAAGGTGATAAATAGAGCAAAAGTAAGGAAAATGGACTGAGGAGACGGATCAATTGATGAAAAATGCAGATGCCGACGAAAGAAAAGGAGTAAGGCAAACTTTGCCTACAAGACGGACAGCATGATAATATTCTCGACACATAAACACTTGCTTCTTAGCTGAGAAACTGGTACTTGAAGAAGATTTATAGAGTTAAGAGCTTCTAGCAGTGCATGTCGAGTGCAGTGCTATCGCAGGTTTAATGGACGACACAATTCTGATCAGGAATATTGCTAATTAGAGCGTAGTTAGAAAATTTGAGATCGCTATTTAGCTGAACTTTTTTCGTTGTGTATTTTAACCTAGCCCAGATTTGCAATTTGCAGCAAAATGTATGTTTAGAACGCCAATCTGATTCCTACCATTTTAACCTATACTGCAATAGAAATTTAAAGACAACAATAGTGTAGACACGTCAAATTAGGCCAAATATATGTTAGCTTCCACTTTAGCAACTAACTTTTGTATTTTAATCTGACAATAAGAACACTGCTACATTGTATTGACTGACACAAAGTTTGTCGACTCCTGAGCACTGTTTATCAGCAAGAAATAATGGGTCTTTTACCCAAATCTCCCATCAACCGCTTCAATCCCATTTCACGTGGTCCACATCCCCCACCTGATCCAAAAGGACAGTTTTTGAGAGAAGTTTGTTCATTCTTGAATCAAGTCGTCGTCGTCATCATCAAGTCTAATTTTGGAATTAATATAATTTCATGGTGAGTCTTGTAGTACCGCCGCCGTTAACAAAGGCTGAACGTCGTGAACGCTTTATGAAAAAGACACGTGCTGAGGCGAGTTATGTGTTTAAATATCTGATTGTGACACAAATTATCGTCTATCTCGAAGCTGGCTCGATTCCGTGTCTATTGGACCAATTAAGTGTTTCACTTGATCTTGATGCAACGCAACAAGGGGCTTTGGGTGGTGTTGTGTATCTCGCACTTAGTGCGGCATCTCCCCTTTGTGCTTATTTCCTTCATCATTTTAATCCACGTCTTGTCTTGGGATTTAGTCTACTGGCTAATAATGTGGCTGTCTTGATGCTTGCACTTACTCCTATTGGCTACAGTTTTAGTGCTAATATGCTCATTTTAGCACGAGCAGCAGTGGGATTTACACAAGCTTTCCCGTGTATTTATACCCCACTTTGGGTCGATGAATACGCACCAAGAGAAAAGGTTGCCGGATGGATGAGTTATCTCCAAGGAAGTGTCCCCATGGGCGTCATGCTTGGCTATTTTGCAGGCACAGTGAGCAATTGGATTGTACCGGAGAGCTCGACGCTTATGCAGACGTGGCGTTGGCCTTTTCTACTGCAGTTTGTAGCCTTGTTGCCTATTAATGTCGCGATCTTTTTCGTACCGACGAAACATCTCGTGATTCGAAGTGATATCGATCGAGATGTTGTAGGAAGTGGAGGGACACAGAGCTCAAGTGAAAGCTCATCTGATGGCTGTACAGATGGGGAAACGCAGATGATCGAGGTGGCATCCACGACCAGTGTACAGAAGGAGGAAGGCGTTGCTGTAGAAAGCAGCTATCAGCATGAAGACGACGAGGTGCACGAAGAAGGAGCTGCGTCGAGTGACAGTGGGATACAGCCGCTTCATAGTGGACGGGGAGGCTTCTTGAGTGCACGCGGCAGGTCTGGTTTTAATTTGCACAGCTTTCTAGACGATAATGTGGCCGGCACACCAATGAGTGCAAGGTCAACGACGTATCATGACGAGGAAGACGCACTGCTTGCTAGCGCGAGCATGTACGGCGTGAGCAACAAGCGCAGCTTCCAACAGCTTCTCCAGAACCAGCAGCAGCAGTACCACTTTGCTCAATGTGAAGAGACTGTTGGAGCGGCTTCACTGCGGCGAACTGTGATCCGACCTCCTAGCGTGCGCGGTACGACGCTATTGGATACGGTTGCAGATGAACAGGAGAATGACGATAGCACTGTCAGTGCTCCCGCGGCGATCTCAACGTCGCCAGTTAATGCCAAGGCTTCCGGGGTCGACGCTGTCATCTCTGTACCTTCACCTACGGTGCAGGAGCCGACATCGCCGGTGTCCAAGACTCCCGCTCATGTGCCACCAACATACGGCGCCTTGGACAGAGTAGTTGCCTCAATGAGTTCTCCGCCAACGTCGCCGCGAATAAATATGCTGGAGGCAGAAGATGAGTTTGAGGTGTACAGCCAAGGCGCGTTCTCGGAAGGCGTGTATGAGCTGTTGCATATGCCCGTGTTCTGTCTGATTGTGTTTGGCCTCACGACAGTGTACTTCGTTGTCACGGGCGTGCAGTACTGGAGCACCATCTACATGATCAAGTCGCTGCATGCATCCAAGTATCTCGTTAACGCGCTTTTCGTGGTCGTCTCTGGCACAGGACCTATCCTGGGCGTATTTTTTGGTGGATGGCTGATTGACCGATCTGGAGGATATATCGGCGTGGAGCAGCGTGCGAGGGCACTGGGTATTTGCATGAGTCTGGGGCTGACAGCCTTCTTTATTTCGGCGGTGGCGACGTTCTTCGACAACGTCTTTATTACCTCCGGCTTCTTGTGGTTGTTACTTTTCTTCGGCGGCGCAATCCTACCAGCTTGCACAGGCATCTTCATCTCGGTAGTGCCTGCTGAACACCGTGCGCTCGCTTCTTCATTTTCCGTCATGGTCTTTAACCTGTTTGGTTACTCGCTCTCTCCCTACCTCACGGGTCTTATCATGGAGTGGGTCATTTCGAAGCAGGGACAGCCGAACAGCTACTTCGAGAACTGTGACGAAGCATGCGCTTACAGGATCGGATTTCGGTTCTGTCTGTGTTGGTCCGTGTGGTCCGTCCTCTGTATCGGTTCCGCATGGCACATCGCTTCTCGGCAGGCAGAGGAAGCTCGCCGGGTGCAACACTTTTACTCCGCGCAGCGTCCAGCACTTGCGGAAGAATGCTGAGCTTCAGTAAGTTTCTTGCCAAAATGAAAGGCAGGTTTAGGATAGGAAGTGAACAAACAGCAAGACAGATAAGCAGCAACTATATACAAAGTCACAGCTTCGCTAATGGCAATCATTCCAGGGGCGGCTGGGCATGGACAAGGCTAGCTTTCAGTGGTACATTAAGAAACTTGAATCAAAAAGAGACTTACACTTACAGTAGCAAGACTGATGCTTTATAATTCGAAGAGAACTTGATACTCGTGAAGCTGTTCATATGCCAGTGCTAATGCGGTCCACCGTAACTGAATGAAACTTCTCGAGAGCATTGCACCAGCCTTGGATAGATGTGTGGAACTTCTCCTCGGGCTTGCGGTCCATAAGCACAAGCGTATGACGAACCTGATCGATGCGTGCCTCAATTTTCTTGTCCAGTACTAGCGCTGACAGCAACGATTCCACCTCGGAAAGTGGGATACCGTTGAGCTCGCGTGCAATGTACTGTGTATCCATCGTGCGATAAGGCTTGACAATTTTGAGTAGCACCTTGCTACGAATTGTTCGCAGCAGACTGTCGATGTAGTGCTTGATGAAAGGGTCGTCCATAATCGCTTCCTGATTCTGGGTCAGCACATGCTCGAAAACCTTGATTTTGTCATGCAGAAAAGCGTCCGTCAGCATCGTCATGGCCACAATTTCTTTGTCATTTTCGTACGGTTTGGCCTCCTGTGAGTCAAAAACGTTGACTTGAGATTCACTCAGCATGTTGGCCAGCACCAAATACTTTAAACACTGAAGCCGCCGCGGTTCACCAGCTTCGTCGTAGCTCTTGAATCCGGAGAAAAAGTCACTACGTGCCTTGTCCCACTCGCGTTGCATCATGTACATCTTACCACCACATTCATGGATGACACCAATAATTTTCTGCAGTTCACAGAGTAACATAACAATTCAAGATCAGAATGCCTACCAACAACGTTTTGGACTCGAGCAGGTCAATACCGGGTGTGCAACGCCTGACTTGGTCCGTAATGCTTTCTCGTAAATTGACACCAGCTTCTTGTTGTCTTTCTGTGCCGTGTACATCTGAATCTGTAGCGCATACACTTCTAATAGCTACAACATCACATACAAAGTCAGCAAAAAGTGACAATTTAAAAAAAAATATCGCAGCATATTCATTCAACCTGTGAGTTTTTCCTGACACCATCATCTCCATCCTCATCGCTGCACGACACCAACAACTCTTTTATAATCTACACACAGCAAGATTAAATCAGTCAAAAATGCTTCGGATCAGACAGCAATTTCTCCTTTTCTTACTTTGCTCAGCCTCGAAAAGTCTCCAATCTCGTACAACAAATTGCCCAGTTTTACACTTGTCTTGAACCACAACCTCTACATAACAGCGACAACGATAAAATGCCATGATTTTTCTTACATTGTTCTCCAGTCAAATTTTCTTTCCCTCACCTCATTCCTCGCCTCTTTAAGCGTCTCTAACGTCGTCTCGTAGAATCTCTGCAGGATCTCCCAAGTCTACCGTATCCACTTCAAAAGTCAGCTATCTTACAACCTGTGAATCTATATAATAATATTCAGCTTGCCTTGCTCGTTGATACAAAATCCAGGATACTATTGATGCCCTTCTCTCCTATATTTCGCGTCACTGCCGTTTTCGTGTAGCCCAATAGCTCCTCGTACCTTCGCATGGCCTCATCATGTCGTTGCATTTCAAACAGCAACTTCACCGTCCGCTTGAGCGCCTTAAATCCCCAGTCCGTCTGCTCATTCTGCAGCTTCAGCACCTCCTTAAGTGCCACCAAAGCAGCTTCTCGCTCCGGCCGTTCACCTTCTAGCAACTGCTTTGCCGAGTAATAGGCATTCTCGATTTGCACGTGCAAGTCTGCAGTCTCGGCATCTTCCATGTCCTCATCCTCATCGCTGTAATCAAAGTCGTATTCTTCCTCGGACGCCATCTGAGGCTCGTTTTTAGTATCCCGTTTAGTGACTTTACTAACAACAATACAAAAACCGCTTTGAATTCTGCGATAAAATTATACATCATATTAAGAAGGTTTTAGTTGTAAGCGGGATACGTTAACATGATGCTATTTGAGTGAATGATCCTACAAAGTCTAACAACTTTACGATCTCCTTCTTACAGTATCGTAGTCCTTCGGGATTTTTACAAACTTCAATAGCAGTCAATATATAAAACGTATTGCTACGTCGTCATGAATAATTGACAGAGAAACACGACACCTGCGTCTTAAGTGTTAGGTCTGACATGTCCATCTAGACGACAATTCGTACGTAGGCCACAACAACTGAGCGACGCACAGGTTATTAACTGGCTCGGCAATACACCATGGTTAGGCCATTATTTGTGCTGGGTCGCACAGGAGATGAAGCCAAGCTGATGTAGATGTCCCGAGGATGCATACTTGATAGAAAATCTTCTTCATTAGCGAGACATGCATGACACAGAAGTCTGATGTTTTGATCGTTAGTGAGCCAGCAATCGACAAAGATTGCCGGCGAGTGCCAGATTTCTCGATGACAAGTACATTCGTCAGAATCAGATCTCACCTATAAGTTGTTTTAACGAAGCAACGCTTAGATGTAGTTATCCAAAGGCTTGTACGAGGAAGCATCAGGGCTCATATATTTTCATTCATATCGTCATTTATTTAGCTGAAGATTTTCGTTTGCTGGCCTGATGATGATTACGCCCCCGACGGCAGCTACGGGAAGAGGTAAGAGAGAGAGAGTGATAGAGAAACAAATTGTCAATCAATGTAAAGTTTACAAAGGTCCTTAGCCACTCTAGTGCCCCCAAAAGATGTTTCCTGTCGGCTACGGGGCTATGGCTGCTGGTTGGCGATGGTATCTGGAAACATGCGCTCAAAATCAAGATCTCTCCGAGACTGTGGCGCACTCTGCCGATCGAGTTAACGCTGCTTACTTACACAAGACCATTTGAGCGGAAGCTTCGAGATAATTGTATTAACATGAAGCTGGAGCTAATAATAAGTGTGGCAACGGTAATTCGTCCTTCAACATACATTTATATTTTAGCTATGGGTCGTACTTCAATCGATCAGTGTACCGATTTTGTACCCATCATATTTTACTGTCGTTTCTCCCCCTGCTACAGTAAGCATCACCAATCTCCGCAGTTTTCGCTGGAAGCTTCTCGGAGCAGGCCTTATCGAAGGTCACTCGACGGATATCAAGCACGGCCAAACTCGGCCTGTCACTCTGCACCAAGCTGATGATGGGTTACACTGGTTTTGTCACGGCTTCCTGCCGGAGCTCACTGTCGGTTCGCCATCGGAACGCCAGGCGGTCTGTCGTGAGATTAGAACTTGGGGTCTGGTATTCGAAGCGCACCCGCAGCTGCATCGGTTTCCTTGGTCTGTGCCGACCACAACGTCTAATCACTTCGTTACAAAGGCCTTAGGCAAGCAAGCTTTCCGGTTCCATAAAAAGGTTCTCGCTCGCCAACTTTCCGTTCTCATTGATCGACTGTCCAAATCTGAAACGACGGATGAATGGCAATGCGCAGCGCTCCGGCAAACGCCGAGGCAAGTGTGGGATCATAGTAATGGACTCACACCGTATCAAGTCTGGACAGGGTACAGGGTGGCGACCAGACAATTAAATCTGTATCACGCTACGAGGTACGAAAATAATAGTTGCAGAAAGGCACCGGCCTGCAGCGGCAGTGAGGAGACCATTGGTCATCTGTTTTGGGACTGTGCCTGCGCTGCAGCGCTATGGGGCAAACTTATTGGTCACTGGACTGGGCAACAAGTTACCCGCCAAGCGACCAAACACTTTGTGGTGGCCTGTGCAAGCCGAAGGGTTCACAGCATACCCGAGCACCGTATGCAAAGTCTAGCGGACCGATTTCAGGATGACACGGATGCAGCCGAACGTGTCTGGACGCGAATTTGGCACGTCTTGGCAACGATATGTCACACACGGCTATGGGTCGACAGAAATGCCGCTGTCTACAAGGCAGTCCCGCTCCACCTTCCCAGCAGCATAGCCAGTTTTTGGGCTTCGTGCCTTTGTCAGCTCCGAGCGATCGCGAAGAGAGAGCATCAAAAAGTTGCGTCCGCCACAACGGGTGCTTTGCTATATGCATGCATCGAGTTGCTCGAGCGCGAACCTAGAGGGCCACCGCTTTCAACGGTGACCAGCCATGATTTACAGTCGGGCCAACCGGCGTTGACATCCTGGCTCAGGACTTTCCAGAGATCTTGCACATAGTTAACACCATGTAAATAGACGATCTGAACAACCACCACAGTAAGCATCACCAGAAATAACATATACGAGAAGGTAGTAAAATTTAAAAAACGCAGCACCGCCAGGTGTAGTATACATCTCGCTCGACTAAAATATTCCCAAAGAAGTCATAAAGTAGTCGTCCAACCCTTGCTCTATTTACCTAATCCGATAAGTTTTCGCCTCTAATCAGTATATGCCCTTTTTACATTATTCTTCCCCAGTCGCACATCTGATGATGATACAGTTTTCACAAAACGTGACACACTTGGGCTGTAAAGTCTTAAAATGGTTGTTCAGATCGTCTATTTACATGGTGTTAACTATGTGCAAGATCTCTGGAAAGTCCTGAGCCAGGATGTCAACGCCGGTTGGCCCGACTGTAAATCATGGCTGGTCACCGTTGAAAGCGGTGGCCCTCTAGGTTCGCGCTCGAGCAACTCGATGCATGCATATAGCAAAGCACCCGTTGTGGCGGACGCAACTTTTTGATGCTCTCTCTTCGCGATCGCTCGGAGCTGACAAAGGCACGAAGCCCAAAAACTGGCTATGCTGCTGGGAAGGTGGAGCGGGACTGCCTTGTAGACAGCGGCATTTCTGTCGACCCATAGCCGTGTGTGACATATCGTTGCCAAGACGTGCCAAATTCGCGTCCAGACACGTTCGGCTGCATCCGTGTCATCCTGAAATCGGTCCGCTAGACTTTGCATACGGTGCTCGGGTATGCTGTGAACCCTTCGGCTTGCACAGGCCACCACAAAGTGTTTGGTCGCTTGGCGGGTAACTTGTTGCCCAGTCCAGTGACCAATAAGTTTGCCCCATAGCGCTGCAGCGCAGGCACAGTCCCAAAACAGATGACCAATGGTCTCCTCACTGCCGCTGCAGGCCGGTGCCTTTCTGCAACTATTATTTTCGTACCTCGTAGCGTGATACAGATTTAATTGTCCGGTCGCCACCCTGTACCCTGTCCAGACTTGATACGGTGTGAGTCCATTACTATGATCCCACACTTGCCTCGGCGTTTGCCGGAGCGCTGCGCATTTCCATTCATCCGTCGTTTCAGATTTGGACAGTCGATCAATGAGAACGGAAAGTTGGCGAGCGAGAACCTTTTTATGGAACCGGAAAGCTTGCTTGCCTAAGGCCTTTGTAACGAAGTGATTAGACGTTGTGGTCGGCACAGACCAAGGAAACCGATGCAGCTGCGGGTGCGCTTCGAATACCAGACCCCAAGTTCTAATCTCACGACAGACCGCCTGGCGTTCCGATGGCGAACCGACAGTGAGCTCCGGCAGGAAGCCGTGACAAAACCAGTGTAACCCATCTTCAGCTTGGTGCAGAGTGACAGGCCGAGTTTGGCCGTGCTTGATATCCGTCGAGTGACCTTCGATAAGGCCTGCTCCGAGAAGCTTCCAGCGAAAACTGCGGAGACATGGTGGTGCCTGTCGTAGGCGTAGTGGCGGTGCCGCGTGCAACTCTGACCCGATAGGTAAGTCCGGGGATGAAAGCAAGATGGCTGTTGCCCACCGACGGAGTTTTGCGTTGGAATGAGGGCCGGGTTGGTCCTGAGGGATTAGTATTCGTAAAACGAATTCCGCTGGCCCCGTACGCCGGATGTGTAGTTGTTCGAGGGTGCAGTCCTCGATCCTGTTATAAGTAGTCCTGGCCAGCATGTTGCCTCCCTGGTCCCGAATCCATGGGTTCGCACTCCAGTTAAGAAAGTAAAGTCTTAAAATGATGCTAACATAGACTCTAATCGTAAGAAATATTTGGCCAAATCGCATCATAGCATGCACCATCAAAGGACGCGAATCAACGAAAAGGTGAGGCAAACCATCTTCATCTACTTTTTTATAACCCAAATACTCTCAGCACACAGATCAGAGTTTGAGCAGTTATCCAGTTTTGATATAATCGGTGCCGATCCCAAGAGCTTTTCCGAATCCAAGTCTGCTTGATTTCATCGTCATGACTGGTGCTGTAGCCACTACTTGTCACTTCAAGCGACCTGGTCTCGCCATTCTTTGATTCGTCGTATTCACAAATCATCATGGTTGCTGCATCACCACAAGCCGAGTACTTGAACAGGACACAGCGTGACCAACGTCGTATACGTCGTTGCTGCTGCTGCTCGCTTGGTCTGGGCCTGATCCTTACAGGCGCCTTCATTGCAATCATCGCGCTGATTTACGGAACGGTAGTGCCAGCCGTGCTCAATGACGCAGTGAAGGACGGAGTCGTGACCTGCGATGCTTCCAATGGAGCCAAAGAGAGCTACGTGGATCCGTACGGTGACTGCGATGACTGCGTGCCGTACTACTACAGCCTGCACATGATGAACGCAACAAACGCCGAAGCTTACCTTGCCGGAGATGCCAACATTCTTCAAGTCCGTGAAACGGGACCTTACACGTACCGCCGTCGCGAGGTTAAACTGGACGTCAAATTTCTGGACGATGGCAACCGTGTGAGCTATAAAAAGTATACGTATCACACGTTCGTGCCGGAAATGAGTTGCGAGAACTGTTCCGACGATGACGAGGTCACGACTTTGGACTTGGGCTACATGAACGTTATTGCACAGGCGGGCGGTGAAGCGGCCTTCCTCGCGAAATTGGCGATGGGTTCTTTTGCCTCGACTAGTAACATCAGTGCAGTCATGGCCATCATAGCTGAGAACGGCCCGCAGATGATGCGTTGGGTCAATGGTCTCAACTCGATGAACCCGAAAGCCATGCGTACGGTGACCAAAAACAGTGCCGTCCTGAGCTTCCTCGTGACTGGACCAAGTGCCATCGCCAAATTGAACTTAACGGGTTTTGCTTACAACGGACTCTTTGCCAAGCGCACAGTCTCTCAGTGGGCTTTGGGCTACCCGAGCCTGCTCGCTGGCTTGGGTCTTGGCTCCAACTACGTCAAGGTGTGTGCTGGTAAAGGCGGCCTCAATGAGCAATGCGCTGCGTGCGCCAACAGCACAAGCGCCAAATGTCTTGCGATCGGAAAAGGGTGCTCTCAATGCCGACGTGGCGCTGGCGTTCTAGCTGTCAACAATGAGACTTGTGCCATCATCGAAGCATCGTACGCCGCCGCGTACGGTGCTGAGGAGGCTGCCAGCTTCGTCTCGAGCACATGTCAGCTTTGCAGCTCGCTCGGTCTGTGCGCTGCTCCACTTCCTGGCGCCGTCGAGTCCAGCGGCCGAGACTACTCTAAGACGGCTCCCAAAGCGTCGAGTCTGGGCACGTACACGCTCCGTACAGGCTGTGACGACGAGAACCACATCAACGAGTACGAGCAGTACGACGGCTACACGACTACTGCGCTGTGGGCGGATCTAGGCGAACGTCGTAATCCCACGCTGGCAGAAATAGTTGCCTTCCCTACTTACGCCAACTGCGCGGCCCCCACGTCCAACTTGACATGCAGCCCGGTGCGTGGCAACGACGGTACCAGCATCGCCCCCGGTGGCGTGAGTGTTACTGGCTTCGAGGACGAGATCTCTCTCGATGGGTTCTCGATTTACCTCGGCCAGGCTAAGCAGAATGTGACGATGTTCAACCAGCACGAAGAGGTGGAGTACAAGGGCATCACGCTGCACCGCTTCCGTCCTTCGGTTGATTTGCTTACGGCGTCTGCCGATAACGCCAACATGGGTACGGCCTACCCAGTGGACGGCGTCCTGTCAATCGCCTTTGACGCGGGCTTCTTGGCCTACGCATCGTTTCCGATGTTCCTGTATGGCAACGAGACATTGATGACAAATGTACAGATCACTATGAGCGACGGCGTGCAGGCGGGCCAAGACACGCTGTACGACAGCACTGGTGCTCTGCAGACCTCGTACTCGGAGAAGTACGAGACGTTTTTGGATGTTGAGGCCGGCACAGGCAAGACGATGCGCGCATACAAGCGGATGATGGCGTCATATGCGCTATCGGCCTCGACTCTGAACAGCTCGATGGCCATGAGCGACGTGCTGTACCCGGCGCTGCCGAAGGAGGTGGTGATTCCGATCTACTGGGCCCAAGAGGGCTCGACAATCTCAGACTCGCGCGTGGACAGCTACGACACGCTTGCTTCGCTGCTCTCCTCGCTGTTGCCAGTGCTCATCGCAGGCATCGCGGTGGGCTTGGCGTTCGTCGTCGTCGGTGTATTCTTCAAAAAACGTAGTTCCAGCAAGGTATAACTTGGTAAACTCTACTTAAAAGCATTATGAAGAAGGAGGAAGATAGGTAAGTACAATGCAAGTGTTAGCTGCAGATCGATCGCTTAGCGAATACATGTGCCTCTGAAGACCATCGTAGTGTCAAGCTCTCCACGACAGGACAATTTTCTCAAGGACGCAAGTATTCGAATCTTGACCTCTGCGTAGCTGGAAAAGGGAATAGTACATGGTGCTACATGCACATGCTCACCAGTCTCACGCGTACAGATAGACTTTGGCTTCGACAAACGTGCTGTAATCCATGAAACCGACTTTCACATCGTTTTCTTACCATAAAACACGATCACCGACCGCCTTTGTCAACCGTATTTGCATTGCGACGTGCGACGTGCGACGTGCGTAAGTAAATCTCTTGTCATCGACTTTTGACGCATCGTCGTAGCAGCTAAAGACTGCATTGCTCGTCATTGATGGCACTAGGCTCTATCGACAAGGATGCGTCCGACGTAAATTCGCAAGCTTAACGTAATCTCAAAGGCTGCGGTTATGTGGTGACGATATCGCCGGATCGTTTCGACGGGTTCTACGATCCCCTTGACAGATCTCTTATTAATGTCGATTCAACTTAATAGTGCACATGCGATTGCTGCATTATCTGCTCTACTTCGACCATTCAGTGCAGTGTGCCGTGAAAGCACTGTCGAGATACATAATAACTTGTACCAGCGTGCATGTACAAGCTTCTATCGTTGCCACCAAGCCGTTTAAGTTAAACAAGATGCGAGTCTCGCCTCGGGTCATCACCGAGCCTTCCCACGTGAGTCTGTCGTCGATTTGACTACTTGTACCACACCAACAGGTGCTTACCTTGACCTCCTATAACATCGGACCTTTACATATCAACACGCCAAGGGTCCGGAAATGCTTTGGCAACTTGCTAGTCATAGCGCAATTGTAAAATTGCCACCTTCCGCTACGGCGACTCTCACCTTCGTCTGCGTCCGTCCATTGACCCTTAGACGTCACCATAACGATGGGCATACACACACCGAAAGCGGACTCCAACGTTTTGTACAAGCAGTTTGAAAAGGATTCCCCCACCGTATTTTCCACGGTCGAAGAGGACGAGTCCAAACAACGGCGATATTGCAACCAAAAGGTCTGGGCCATTGTGCTCATAGTAGCGGGCTCCTTGACCTTTGTCATCGGTATCCTGTACGGCACTGCCTTTCCTGAGTACGTCAATTCAACCGTGAAAGACCGAGTTGTTCGCTGCTCCGACGACAAGGTGTCCGAGGAGGTCTTCTTGGACCCATACGGAGACTGCGACGACTGCTCGCCCTACTACGTATCTGTATACATGCTGAACGCCACCAATGCCGAGAACTACCTCGCTATGAATGCCAAGCTGCAAGTGCAGGAGATGGGGCCGTACGTGTACCGCCGCCGCGAAATCAAGTTGGACGTGTCTCTATCGAACGACGCCTCCACCGTCACCTACAAGACGTACACATACCACACGTTTGAAGCCGAACTGAGCTGTGATGGCTGTTTAGCGTCGGATGAGATCGTGAGTCTCGACACGGGATACTTGAGTGTCATAGCTGCTACTGGCGGCGAGTTCAACTTGCTAGCATCGGTGGCTGCACAATCATTTGCCTCTGGGCTAAGCACGACGGAGCTCACCGCGACTATCACTGAGCACGGCGAGCAAATGATGCGCTGGATAAACGGCCTCAATTCTCTGGATCCGGTGGCCATGAAGACGGTGACCAACGGCAGCGCCGTGTTAAAATTCCTAGCCTCTGGTCCGACAGCCATTGCCGACTTGGACCTTTCTGGTTTCGCATACAATGGAGTGTTGGTCAAGCGAACTGCGTCGCAGTGGGCACTGGGCTATCCGAGTCTGCTGGCCGGTCTCATCCTAGGTGCCAACTACGTCGGGGCGTGCAACCTCAGCATGAACGCGCAGTGCGCGTCCTGCAGAGGTCACGATTGCCTGGCCATCGCAGCAGCTTGCTCTCAGTGCACCAAGGGTGCGGCTGTCGTGGCTGTCAACAACATCACCTGCTCCGTTGTCGAGTCGATTTATGCTGCCAAGTACGGTACTGACGAAGCCGCCAACTTTGCTGCGACCACTTGCGGCCTCTGTAAAAGTGTGGGTCTGTGTGCTGCACCTCTCCCCGGCATCGCCGAGAGCTCCGGAATGGACTACTCGAAAACGGCACCTGACGCATCAATCCTCAAAGACTATGTCAAGCGCACAGGCTGTGACGACCTGACCAAGATCGGAACGTATGTCAAGTACAACGGTTTAACTGTCGCGCCTGTGTGGGTGAATCTGGACGAACGTCGTAACCCGACGCTGGCTGAGATCAACGCGTTCTCAATCTATGCCAACTGCGACTCACCTGTTGCAAACATCACATGCTTCAACGTTTCGGGCACGGACGGCACGGCGCTCAAGCCCGGAGGGGTGACGATCAACGGGATGGCGAAGCATACTACGGCCGACTCATTCGACTCGTACATAGGTCCTGCCGAGATCTACATCGCCATCTCGAGTACGGACACGGAAGTGGACTTCAATGGGGTCTCTCTGCACCGCTTTGGTACACCGGCAGACACCTTCAACTACACTGACGCCAACGCTGACATTGGCACAGGCGTTCCGGTCAACGGATTGCAGCAGCTCAGCATCGTCACGGGCTTCTTATCATACATGTCTGGTCCATTCTTTATCTACGGCGATTCGTCACTACTCGAGGCTGTGCAGATGACCAGCACTGACGGTACGGTCATGAAAGCCGACAGCATGTACGACTCCGAGGGCAACCTCTTCGAGAGCGTCCACAGCGCGTACGGCACCTTCGTGGACATCGAATCGAGCACAGGCCAGACCATGAGCGCCCGCAAGCGCTTGCAGGTCTCATATGCGCTGGCGGCCTCCATGTCTGTGCCTAACGCGTCTATGAGTGATGTGCTGTGGCCCACGCTGCCGACGGAGGTGGTGCTGCCTGTGTACTGGGTGCAAGAGGCTGGCGAGGCCAAGGACAGCGTGCTTGACAAGTTCAAGAGTATGCTCGCTCTTGTCAAAACATTCCTGGTGGGTCTGATTGTGCTCGTTATTATCGGCATCGTCGAGGCTGGAGGAGGCATCTTTCTTTGGCGTCGGTACAAACAGAAGCTGGAGATGCAGCGCTACGACAGCGTCATTTGAATCACGGGTACGTAGACAGCAAGAAATAAAATGAACTCATGTACATCTCCATACGGTTTGAAATTGAATCCACTAACTCGACATCATATCTCTACCACCTGCCGTGCAATAATACCATAAGCGACAAGCCTCTTTCTCCGACGACATGAACAGCGCTTTGGACGCGTCTCAGCCTTCAAATTGGTCATACAGCACCGTCAGCCGTAGAACTACACCCCACGTCATGCAGAACGCCATTTAGACGTCGGCCTCCTGTAAATCGTTTTCTCCTTTGAAGGATTGTAGATAGATCTTTGCGACTGTGACACCCATGTTCCGTCTACTGTGCTTATCAATCCAATATCGTTTCATATTCAAGTCACTCACTCCTGCTAATCTGCCCAAGCCAAGCGCCTATTATAATTATGTTCCCGCTTAAAGAAAGAGGACCGGTATGCTGGCGTTGGCCTTATAAGTCCGTACATTTCTCAAGTGGAACCAAACCTATACTCTCGACTGCGATGAATGGGTCGCGCGTGTACTCTCCGTGCATTTCATATAGCAAGCTGCTTGTATGGTGAAGTGGTGCTTTTCCTCGCTTTAAATGGGCTGTGCCATGGCTGGATTGTGAGTTTGTGTGCATCATTTTCCTACTGCAGCGAGCATCCGAAGACACGTCTAACGACGATACTTTGCTAGATTTAGCAGAGTAACGGCGTTAGACTAGAAACCATTAGGACTGCAATTGGAATAAGCACGTTAGCTGGAACAGCAAAACTTTCTTAATGCAATTGCAGTGATGGTCTTACACACTGATGATGCTCTCCTACTTGATGATCTTGCCCACAATCGGGTACTTTTCCTTGAACTTGTCCTCCCATTTGTTGAGCACATCATGCTGCTGCTCCGTGATCCCGTCAAGCGTTGGGTTGTCCAGATACTCATCCAGGAACGACATGCAGGCGAGCGACCGAGAGCAGTCTCGGCCCGCAAACTGCTTGTAACCTCCGTCCGGACCGTAGTGGTCCAGCCCATCCAGTGTCACGTCATAAATGTTACCATTTAGAGCTACGTAGACAGTTTTGCGCGGATTGTCACGGCCATTAAACTGCTTGAGCTGCTCAAGCGTCAGATCGCGACGACGGAGGATACGCCCCACGTTTGGGTAGCTGTTGTAGACCGAGAACTTGGTAACCCAATCATTCAGTGTCTCCTTGTCCATAAAGCTCAGATCTGACAGATCGTCACTATCAAGATCCTGCTTCTCGAACGACATTTTGGCCAATGCTCGGGACGCATCTCGACCTGCAAAGAGGTGGTAACCCTCGTCCGGTCCATAGAAATCACGTTTGCTACTCACATCGTACACTTCATCCAATAATGCAATGTAAATGGGCTGTCCATCTTCACCATTAAAGGGAAGGAGCTCTTCAGGTGAGAAAAAACGTCGTTTCATGGGTTTCTCACGCTCCTTCTTGAGTGCCTCTTGTCGTGCTTTGGCTACTTCGTAAGCACGTTGGTGAGCTACATCAGCACGCATATTCAAATACTTGACAGCGGATACCGCGGCCACGGCCACGCCAATTCCCACCAAGAAATTACTGTCCATGTTAGCGAGAAACGACAGCATGGATGACACTATGAGTTGGACAGAGAAACCACTAACTGGAACTGCGACGTATACCGGTATGTGTCGGTAGTGTCGACACGCACTGACGACCATCGAATTAATTGTTTATTGTAGCTTATCCTTCGTGATGCTAATTTAATCACAAGATACTACATCATTTTCTTCTTCATGGTGCCGCTAAATGCACCAAGATCAACAAGTTCTGGAGCAAACAATCCAGCAGAAGCAAAACCCATAAACCAGGCAAATGGTCCGAGAAAAGGCACTTGCAACATGTAGCAAAAGACAAGTCCAAAGCCAAGTCGTGCAGCATCGCTTCCGCTTTGATGCCAGTCCCCTTGTTCCTTTTCGCTATCGCTATCAATTTCCATATCAGTGAGCAGATCAGTGTTGACGTTCAAATCTCGATGCTTCGCTGCTGATTTAAGGCGAGCAATAATTGGGTCTAAAAGCTCGCGGATGATGGCTCGCGAATCCAACCACATGTGCACAAGCTGCAGTGTTGCTTCACGCGTCGCTGGGAAGACAAATGCGACGAAAATGGGCACAACGAACACCTTCTCCATGTGGCGAATACTGCAGCAAACAGTCAGCAAGAAGGAACGACGCAACCACCTTTACCTGCAACAAAGACGTACCGATAGCCAAATTGCACGACGGGTATCAATACACCCAAAAGTGGTTTTGCAGCCAGAGCCACGAGTCCAAAGCCTAGCTGACGGAGTCCGAAACGCATCAAATGGCGGATATATTCCCAGTCCCAGTAGATTGCTTTTCTCTGCAAAAGTAACAATCAGTTCACGTACGTAGTACAACAGTGAGTATTTGTTAGCAAGCGTGTTGCACCTTTTGGATCATCTTGGCGAGTTTCGGATCACGTGTCGCCAGTCCCGCAAAAAAGGCGTTTTCAAATACTTTAACGCTAAAATAGCGGTATACTCCAACGAGTAGGAACGGGACTATCGAGGCAGCAGTGTAGCGGAAAGCACGCACACTGGCATCCACTGTTTCTGGCTTGAGAAAGAGTATACTGATCCACTCGACGGGCAGCAGCACAAGGTGCATCACAGCAGATAGCACAAAAGCCAGAATCAGCAAAAGCTTCATGTTTCTGTGATGATCAGACAGGTATTTATTAGACTTGGAAATTCTAATACACAACGGTAACGTACTGCTCAATTTACCTCCAAAAGACACTGCGCACTTCATTGTCTGCTAGTGCTCGAAACGTTCCAGTTACTGCGTTGTTGTGTTGGTAAGAGAAGGAGTTAGATAAAAAGAAAGGTATAGATAGAGAGAAGAGACAAAGAGCTACATACAAGCAGCCGTTACTCCGTAAAGAAATCGTTTGCTACGCGCCACGAGCTTTGTCGCTTCTAGTGTCTTGAGATCTGTCATACTCGATTGGCCAATGATGAATATCAGATTAAAGAAACGTTTATCTTCCGACCCTTTTAGTTCATGTGGTCCACCCGACCTACTAACTCGATAGTATATTTTTACATACAGTTCTTATTATCTTATGGTGCTTGGTTCCTCCTCTACCTCATGGCGCCTTTGGCGTTCTTTCTCAATGAAAACTGGTCATTTACATAACGTCATTTTTCATTACGATGCCGTTACATTTTTCTTCTTCTTCTTCAAGTGATGGTGGTTCTCTTTCTCGTATGATAATACCACGTTTACTCCCGCTTTTTTGTGGTCTCTTTGGTGGTACTTTGGTATCGTTAGGTATTGCTCTTTCAGGCTTTCGTTCTGCTGTACTTGTACGTTGGATACTCTGTATTCCTGGTAATTTACTACTTCAGGCATTTGTGGGTCTTACGTTGCCATTAACGGCGTTGCACGCGACACTTACGGGTTCGCACATGCAGCTGTCTTGGTATTGGATGAAAGTAACAGCAGCGACACTCGTGGCCTTTACGCTGGCCACGCTCCTTGCAAGTGCTTTAGGCGCATTGCTGGCGGTCGCTTTACAAAGCGTCATCCCGACACTGACACATGTCTGGGGCATACCGTCGTCCGGTGCTACAGTGTCGTTTGGATGTCCCAGGGATGTGGCCAATGGGTTCGTGGCGTTACAAAATGACGGGAAACTTGTATGCTCTGCAAACGGAACGACATTCGTATTAGACGATATGGCAAAGACGTTCGTGACAGCTTCGAAGACGCAGACGTTCTTGCATATTTCCGAACAGGTTGTACAAGTGACGGAGAGTCTTTTTCCAGCAAGTTTGGTCGACGCATTCATCGATGGAAACGTGCTGAGTCTCGTGGTTGGAGGCCTTGTACTTGGTGTAGCGTTGACGGGGTCTTTTCTGGAAGAAAAACGAAAAGAAAGAGATGATGCAGTTGATTGTCATCCTTTTCACGAAGAAGAATGCGAGCAAAAGCAGGATTTGTTGATACTGCAGCTGGTGACACAGGCAGAGGCCGTAGGCTGTCGTGCCCTTAGTTGGCTGCAGGCGTATTTGCCTCTCATTGCTGCCTTTATGATCAGTAGCGTATTGCTTCAGACATCGGCTTTTCCGTTTACTGTTGACAGTGGTGACACTGTGGTGGTCACTGCCGTCCTGGCGCTTCTAGCGGTGCTGCTTCTTGCTTTGGTTTTGGACGTGGTCGTGATGATTTTGTTGACCACAGTGCTTACCCGATCGAACCCGTTCGCATTCCTCGAGCATCTTTTGCCTGCGCAACTACTCGCCTTAAGCTCCGGATCGTCCATCGTGGCGCTGCCAGCTACTGTTTCAGCCGTTGTAGCGAGCAGGCGCGTCTCACCTGCGCTTGCTTTCATCGTGTGCTCTACGAGCACAGTGCTTAACCAGACGGGCGCTGCTCTTTACTTGTCAGCCAGCACGCTGTTTGTGCTGTCTGCAGCAGCCTTAGATATGTCTGAAGATGAAGTGATAGCGTCACAGTCGACAAGCATTGTTGCCGCAATGGTATTTACGAATGTACTCGTCACCAGTGTGATTTCGCCACTACCGGGTGGAAGCAAGACAGCGGTGCTGGCAACAACTTTAAGCGCTGTCTTCGGGATTTCGACCGGATTAAGAGCTGTTTTAGTAGCTTTCTTGGCTGCACTGGAGTGGGTCACGGGTCCGTACATAGCTTGTGTGAACATTACGAACAATGCGCTGATTGTGCTGGTGATTGCACATTATTTTGAGGGTCAAGTAGTAGCAGAGACTGAAGGTAATGTAGACGAAGACGGTGCTGTGGCGCACGAATCTTCTGTGCAAGCTCTACGCCAGGTACGAGTGCAGGATATGGCGGACGAGAATTGGATATAGTTATGTTCTATGTGTTCGTGGAGTAAAATGTGACGTGGGAAGTGGCAATGACCATCCTCACGTGATAATAGCATTCGGCAGGGTCTTAACATCCAATACGTTGAAGCACTATTTCTAGTGTGTGATACTCTCGACCTTCCATACCTTGATGAAAGACACCTCGGCACCATTGCCGTTGATTTTGAGTTCTTTGATCGGTTATCGGAAGCAATAGATCTGCAGTTATATGGCTTTTTGGGAGTCAAGGCAAGAAGGCACGTCCGACTGCGGCAACAGTTGGAATCACAGCCAAAGCGGTTGGCACGGAGATTTGCGACAATAAGCTCACTGAAAGACGCGATCTTAAACCGATGACAATAAGTCCGTTCACTACAATATAGTTGTGAGACCTCTTCACAATGGTGTATTAGGGTGCCCAGCAGAGAGGATGACAACCTGGAAATAAATACCGAGTCTTTTGCTACTGGGCGTTCTTTGGGGTGGTGATATTTAATGTCTACTAGCGAGGACGCAACAGCTTTGAATTTGAATTGTTGGAGATTTCTTGATCCGGGTGCTTGAGCGTCTATTGCTACTGCTCATTTTACGACCATCATAATTTGCTTCTCGAAACTGGCGGGTTCTGATGAGATACGCCCTCTTTGGTACTTATTTCGAGCTTGTGGCACATTAGCGAGTTGCGTGGCAGTCGCTGCCGCCTCTTACTACTTGTTCTCTTTGCAGTCGAGGATGTCGCCGACATTAGGACGACTTTCCAACTTCATCACACGGTGTCCAAAGGAGAAGTTTTTCTCGTAAAACTTATTTTACAACTAATGGCCAAGTACTTATGGCTGCTAATGTCATAGGGCTGCTAATTGTTGGAGCTTTCAAATGGTTCGGTCAGCGTTGTATTAAGAAGAGAAAATGTGCTTTTCTTGTATGGGGTTTTTACGGAAACATTACTAGCGCTTTGGTGTCGGTGCAGTTCGTGAAAATCACCATTTTCAGTACGAACATTGGAGCGACAATCGCGATAAAGTATGATCGAGATAGCATAGAGTTGAACTACGCGCTTATGTATATTTGTGCCGAACCTGCAACAATATTGCCATCACCTTTATCGCTCGGATCATCGAAAGAATGCTGTGGAGATTAAATCAACTCTGGTTAGAAGCGTAGCATGACACAAGAGGAACCTCAATAGCAGATACATCTTGTCATCGAACCCGTTCGTTCATCGTTTGCTTAAATCTAGTCGATATATATTTTTCATGACCTCTTCCTACCTGTTTCTGCAGCAAATAGCTGTAGCTGCCTTGAAATCGCGAAGGAATAAATCGCAAGTGCAAAGAGCATTGAGAAGGCGACAAAAGGTTGTGCAACATCTACTGCACTTGTCTTTGACACTCCCAAGGCAAACACGTTGTTGATCACATGCAACAAGAGGCACTTGACAACTGAGCCGGAAACTGCAAGTGTAAGCGCCAAGTAAAGCCCAACAAGGAACGCCCAAAGCACTTGAAACGCCACATAGCTCGCTGAGTACTGCGTTCCGAGATGTCTGGCATTAGCCAGGTGGATTGCGGCGAACAATACAGCAGAGATTAAAGCACTCGACTTGGCATTCTGCAGTCGATTAATGGCCACCAGTTGGATTGCTCCTCGAAAAAAAAGCTCCTCCTTCAAAGGTGCCAGCAGTAGCTGCTGTATGATCTCCGCAGTGGCGAGTGATCCGTCCGATCGATACATCACAGTCTCAATGTTTCTCCAAGACACGAAAACCTGCGCTTCAGTCTGCGGCTGCAGCAATACTAGCATTATGACGGCCGCAACGTGCAACATCACTGAAATACTGCATGTTTTCATGCCGCTCCAACCGAACATCGTGAGTCTTTGCATGAGGTCACGCTTGGGTAGGCGGAAGAACCAGCTCATGAATGTGACAAGGCCCCATCCGAACGTCGCAGTCTCACAGATCTGGACGACAGCGTCCTCCGGCATCGAACTGACTTCAAATGCAGTGAGGAACGCGTGTTGGAGGCCGCGCGCCATGACAGAGGTGATCAGTAGCAATAGAAACGCGCTACTACTGACGAATGCCAGCTCCATAACCAACACGACGCAGCGGATGGCACCTGGGATCTCGGACGACGTCAACGTTTTGCCTTGAGCGACTGCATCTGGGTCATGCACCTGAAGCGCCGTCAAAGCTGCCAAGACGCCGTTGGGCCTGGCGGAGAGCCACTTCCATGCAACGTCCGCTGCCATCTTTCTCCGCAAGCTCCTAGTTACAAAGCCGCAAACGTTGTCGTCGCTCTTGTTGATGTGAAAGACGCTCTCCTCCGTTTGGTCGCTACAGTATAGATGATGCCGTATTTGGTCGTCCAATGGTACGCGGTTTGACCTTTGCACGGGGAATACGTCCTGTAAAGCTTTACGGACTTTAGGAAGGATAATACCAGCAGGAGAATTATTCAAGCCAAGCTAGGAGCTTGGACACTGCGAACTAGTTGGTTATGCTCGTTGGCACTTATTCCACGGAGCTGTTGCTGCTGGCCATTCGATTGCTTTCAAAGACTACCAAAGTTGCAGACATCCGACACCTTAGCTGCCGTATCTGGGCGCGTTTGCGCACAGCGTCTTCTTCAGGGCAGTGAGCCTTTCTTGCAGGCGCACTACATGGACGTTTGTGCAGTAATCTCCATTAACAATTGCGTTGGCGATTGCAGGCTCTTACTGACCAATGCCAACGTGTCCAGCCGATGTTAAGATGCCACTCGTAGTCACTGCTGCCCGAGGAATTCTCCAGGCGGATCCTGGGTTACAAGGCTGCAGGACTTACCACGGCAAACTCACTGACGGCAGTCAACGGCGTGCCTGTTGCTAACTTTTGTGGCAACGTTGTTGCGACATAGTTATGCTGTCACGTGGTGCACGATGCTTTGGCGTGCACCGCAACATGGTCTTTGGTGACTCCTGAAAGAGGCCGTGTCATCTTGTCGCTGCTTAGAAAACGCAAGTGAGGGTCGGTAGATGCTATCGCTTGAGCTTTGATAAAGCAGTTCAAAAGACTTGAGAGCAGTTTGTTCCGCAATTTGTTGGTGGTGGAGCTGCCACTGTACATCATTAGCAGCTTCTGATGTCTAGATTGCAGACCGATCAAAGAAGCGACGTTCATTGTTCTTTATCGTCATCAGCACGCAGTTGATAAAGCATGTTTAAATGTCACTGTGGCTTAGCTTTCTGTCCTCGCATCTAGAACTATGCTTCTCGAGCTACATTCGTGTAGCTTGTGGCTATAATAATTCTACGCACTAAAGTGCAAGCCAGCAGTGTCACTGGGCTTCAGTGAGCAATCGGACCACAACAAGACAAACCGTATATAACCTTAATGACTTCGGCAATGCCTCGAGTCAAAGTTGCGGCTACGCTGTCGCGCCTGCTAGTTCTTTTGTCAAAAAACTTCCACAAGACAAAGATTTTCTCGCTCAAAGTACTGATATGGATTTCCAATGCAGACACCGATCGCGATGTCCTCGTAATCTCCTTTTTGTTGTTTGCGAACTGATAACGATGGGGTTCGTGAATTCAGTCATGGTCCTGCGCTATAGTGAGACTCGGCAGCCCGTCATGTCGTTTTCTACCTAGTTCCGTCTGACAAGAATCATGCACAGCGAAATCCTGGATGCACGAAGTGCCTGTCAACGGTCTGACATGCTATCGAGTTCAAGTTTTACCGTCGACAAACTTTGCAGGTGAATCGTCTTCGTACTGCCGATCGTCCAGCACTCTTGTGTCTGAACAAAATGAGTAAAACCAATGCTGGAAATTTGAATATGCAAGCTCATGTTCCAGTCGATGGAACTCACTTGACACAGCTGTGAAATCTGCAGAAGGTTTCGCTAAGAAAGAAACGCCCATTACAATGGAAGACGAAGCGTCGACTGTGATGGCAAGCGGTGGTGATGATGGTGACATGTCGTGTCGAAGACAGGCAGGAAAAAGCCACCACTGACGTTTTTTGCGAACGGTTTACTCGCTTATTGGACCCGTGACGATGAATGGACGTAGTTGGCCGTGCAACATACCGCCCAGCGCCTTCCTGCGCGTGGATGCCGTCGGCCCTTGGATCCGCCGCCGCTGCGTCGTCGAGTACGATGGCACCAACTTCTGTGGCTTCCAGGCGCAGGACCAACCTGGTGTGATGCGGACCGTGCAAGAAATTATTGAAGACGCGCTTCATCGCACTACGGGCGAGACGAAACTGGCTAGACTGCGCTTTGCCTCGCGCACAGACACCGGCGTCCATGCACAGGGTCAAGTCGTCGTTCTTGTCAGTCGCTGCGTCGAAACGGATCGTGTCTTCCGCGATGCTCTCAACACGCGGCTGCCCCAGGACGTCGTGTGTCGTAGTATGTTCACGATGACAGAGGCCCAAGCCAACTTCGATCCGTGCGTAGACGCCACGTGCAAGCGCTACGAGTACGAATTAATCACGGGCGGCTTGCGACCTGTGGTTCACCGTCGCAATATGTGGCACGTCCGCAAACCGCTGGATGTGGCCAAGATGCAGTTAGCCGTGAGCCACATGATGGCGCCGCCCTCAACAAAAGACTTTTCGTCCTTCACGCCCCAGAAAGCTCTAGATGGAGAACAAAGCAACGTTTGTACGGTCTCTACTATCGAGCTCCATGCTGATAAGGTGAACGAAAGAGGAGGTGTCCAATACGAAGAGGACGTGGCTACGAGGATACGACTGGTCTTCGAGGGCAACCGGTTCAAGTACAAGATGGTACGGAACATGGTGGGCACGATCGTGGACGTCGGGTTGGGCAGACTGAAAGCTGACGATATTCCGAGGATCCTGGCGGCCAAGAATCGAGCAAAAGCAGGCCAAGGTGCACCGCCCCAAGGACTTACCCTCGTGTGGGTCAAGTACGACTAACTCGCTGCAAACGCGTGCATCTGGTTGTAGGATAATATTGCTGCAGTTCTTTTGGCTAGAATTCATACCACTTTTTGTTGGCGTTTTTCTTGTTGAAAGCCTTCATCGTGTGATAAAAGTCCTCAGATGTCTTCTTCATCTGTTCCGTATTCAGTCCCAGATCATTCAGCTTTTCCCCGCGTTCTGCGAGCCGCTATGCAGTGCAAAACCCACAAAATGAAAATGAACAAAACTAACAGATTCTAAAATACTAGCATTAGCATCGAACCATACCTGCTGCGCCTGCATAAGCGAGTCTTTCGTAGCACTCAATCCCGTCTCGGTTTGTGTTGTGGCACTTCTAGCATCTTTGGCTGGGGAAGACCAATCTCCCATAAGCCGTTTGCGCTCTTCCTCCTCCGTAGAAAAATGAAATACCTTGTTTAAGTCTGTGGCCTCTTGAGTGACGCTGAGGACCAAGTTCTTCAACATCTTTCCTGCATCTGCTGCGATACCCCGCTTTTTGCCGCTGTCGGTGGTCGCTGGAGGCGAGGCAACTTGATCAAAGATGGTCGCACGCTCAGGCAGGTATAAGCGCGTCTTGATCGACATGCGCTCAAGCATAGCACTTTCCATCGCGGTTGCCTCGGCAAACAGAGAGAAGCGTTCGATCTCGCCAAAAGCATTCGCGACCACAAGCTCACCACCATACGAAATATCGAATAGGATTCCGTCCCCAAGGCTGCTACAGCTTAGTCCGAAGCCATAGTTGTCCCAATCGGCCTCCCAGATTAACTTAAGCGAAAGTAGCGAGAGAACATACACGTGCTTGCTCTGGTCAACGACGGCAAGGCAATTCTCGATACCCTCGCCAACCGGTATTCGAACAACCGAGGTGACAAGCACGGTCCCCTGCAGCTCAACACTTGCTAAAGGCACCGCTGGAATTTCCTTAGGACCCATCGCCATCTCCGCTGCCCGAGGAACTGTTGCCTGCACGACGTGAATCGCCCTACCGCACGTGCACACTAAGAACCGTGGTCGTTCATATTCCACTACGTTCCGTGAGTCGACAAGTGGACCATTGGAGGCTCCAATTTCATCGTTAACAGATATTTCTGGGCTCTGAAAGCCTAACGCGAAAACTAGCACCTTTTCGCGCTCTCGAAGCTTTTCGAGAACTCTGCATACCAAATCGCGGTCGAGGGGGATCACATCCACACCATTTATTGCGGTGAGAGTATAACCTATGTGAATTCCCTTGGACGCGAGTAGAAGTGCTGTGCTGCTGTCATCCACAAATCCCTTCACAACCGCATGTTGCTCCACCTCCATGAAAAAATACAGCCCGAGGGATCCTGCAGGAACTGTAGCTTCAATGTGAGACCTTTGTTTCCAAGTCGGTTTGTTCGAAACAAAAGCTGGTATCACTCCAGTAGCTGAAGCCATCGAGCGTTCTTCTATTGCTGCAATCACAAGCTCTTGCGTTAATTCAAGATTTGCGTTTGGCATTACTGCTTGCCGATTACATGGCTGGTCTTCAATAATATTTGCATCATCACCCCCATGTGTGTCGAAGTCTGGATTTACCATGCCTATCGAAACTGCAGATTTTAGAGAATCTAAGACACTACCGGCAACACTAAGCTTCTTATCTTGCTTAACCCACTTGTGTCCTGGGATTATAATACGCTTGCCATCACTGTTTACCATGAGGATTGACGTCAAACTTGTGGACTTCTCTGGATCCAACAGCGTTTCTCCCATCTTTGTGGCTGAATGCACATGGTACATTTCCAGTTTCCCACTCCCACGGCCAACAAAAAGCACAGGGATCACTTCGCGGTGCTGCATCATATGATGAAGATCTGCGTCGCTACTCGAGACGCTACATTGACCAGAAGATACTTTACCACCATTTTTATTACCTACGGGTAGCAAAGAAGGAGACGAGAAATTACTTCCAGGAATTTTGGTCGTTTGGACAAGCTCACTCATCAGCAATGAATCCACCGACGTGGACTCGTCACAGGCAGGAGCTATGTCACGAAATAATAGCTGGAAAGCCTGCGTCTTCGTCTCGACAAGTGATACTATACCTGCGGCGTCAGCTATAGCCACGTATCCATAAGAGGAAGACAGCACCAGCTTCGAAATCGGTTCACTGTGTACATGCATGGAGAAAAGTGTGCGGAAGCCAACAGCCTCATTTTGATCCTCGCTTTTGAAACACGAGCCTGGTTTGTCTGGGTTTAAACATTGCTCTCGATCAAAAGCACCGTTTTTCACCTCGCTGTCTTTATCCTCCTGTACTCCGTCAGTCACGGAAATATTTCCCTTTACTTTGTCGAACTCTAGGACGACAATTTCACCGGACGCAAAGCCAACCGCAAGCGTGCGCGAGTCGGCGCAAAATGCCAGGCACGTGATCTCTGGATTGACCGGAGCCGGAGACATCTGCACCGAAACATCGACGACGTGAATCAAGCGAAGAGCACCCTTGCTGATGCGATCTCCAGCCGTTCGAGCTACCCAAAATAGTACATACCCGTTTTCGTGGCCCGTCAGTAGTATCATGCCGTTTGTTGCAATATTAGCTCCACTGCTAAGTACACCACTTGTCGAGAAAAATCCTTTTAGCATTGGTTCTACTACGCTACCACCATTGATAGGCCACTCAAAATCACCGCTTTCCATAAAGCGGAACATGGGGTTGTATTTCGTTTGGTTCCATGTCGAGAGTAAGTCATCCTGTAGAGTGCTGTTAGAGTCAGAAGTGTTCACAAGTGCGAAAGTCTTTAGCGGACTAAGTTGCAATAGCGGAGGAATAATCACAGGCTCTGGAAGTCGATTCATATGCCATTCCCATGTTTCTCTGTTAAAATCAGCGCACAACTTGACGAAACACGGCAAGCCCTGCACGCTTACTGTTGGCAAGCAACCATCCAGTGGGTTTCCGGAGAGTATGATTAATGACAACGGGGCCGCTTTCGTACAGTAGTCCAATTGGTCCTGGGCGGCCACGAAATCTGCAATTTCAGCGTGATTCGCTGATTCGATTGTTGTAATACTCCAAGTTAATTTATCTGCTTTATAGAGGTCTTCCAGCGTGTCATCGGTGCTGCGTCCATCAATAGGTGGATAAACCACGGTCAGCAGCTTGGATTCTGTAGGGTCTGGATGACCTCCAGAAAATATAATGGCGCCAGGAAGAGCAACATGTTTGGAATTTGGTGGCGCACACACCCACTTTATTTTCTTTAAGGGCGTGACTTGTTCGGACGGCGCCGTTCTTGCATCATGTCGATACAATCCATGAGATTTATCGACACGAAACACCGCGAAGCCGCCGTGCTTGTATCCTGCTACAAACCTCTTGCCACCACAATGCCACGACAATGACTGGGGGGAGTTGACGACAAGGTCTCCGTTAGCAGAAGACACGTCGAACGTCGTTTGAGACGTGAGCTTGTGTGCCTTCTCTAAGAGAGAGAATTCTCGCATCACTTTGCGTTTGGCAAAGTCCCAAAGCAGCACATAAGGACACGTATCGTAGGCGATCAGGATCAGATTAGAGTCTCTCGGATGAGACGATATTGCTGTGATGCCCTTATCGTTAGAAATTGTGAGATCCTGCGGCTGAATGACGTAGATGCTCCGTTGACCCGTTTCTTCATGAACTATATGAACATTTCCGTCGTCTGTAGTTACAAAGAAAAAGGGAAAGTTATTGTAGCTAATGGTCTCCAAACTAGTAATGACGCTCGTCGTCCAGTTGTTTGAAACACAGCAGAGCGCAGCACCCGAGCTTAAATCAAAGACACGTATGGAGTTGTCCGTATACACCACGACCAATCGTTGATGCGCCGTGAATTTCAAGTGGGTGACACCCACCGCCAAGTGCGACGTAGGTCGTTCTAAAAGCACCTCAAGTCCTTCATCCCCATAGAGCTTTACAGTCCCAGATGCAGTACCTACGGCCAAGATTCCCTGTAGACCGCAGAATGCCAGTGCTCGGGCATTACTTGGTACGCCGTGATGCGCAGTTGCATGTAAAGAAAACATGGACGAATGAAGAGCACTAGAACGCAATAGAAACGCGTCTAGTGTCAATTGTGACGTCAACGTAGCGTGACTCGCTTTATTTCCCATGATGCTACGAGCGATTGTCAGAGCAAAAGTGTTTTAGCGTGTCAACACTAAGTTAAAGACATGGTAAATGGATACTTAAACAAGTCTTCTAATGAGCCCATAAAACGTAAAAATTTGCCAAGAGTTGATACAATACCAGTGAATTAGCTGTAATTATCTTCATCTATTGATTGTCAGCATTAATTGACCATGGCATTGTACTCATCAATGGCTTCGTTCGCGAGACGATCGGCAGCGGCATTTTTCTCTCGAGCCACGTGTGAAAATGTCACATGGGGAAACGCTGCACTAAGTTCCTTGCACTGCTGATGGAGTCTTCGCAGATTCGTGGCCTTGACGCGATAAAGGCCCTGCATCTGCCGTACGACGAGCTGGGAGTCCATGTGCACGTGCACATACGTAGCTTGGTACCTCTGCGCCAGTCGCAGCGCCAGCATCAAACCGTGATATTCGGCCTCGTTGTTGGTCTCCTGGTTGCCCACGTACTTGGTTTCTGAGGCCAGCACGCGACCCGACGAAGGGTCCATCAGCAACGCACCGCAGCCGCTGTGACCGGGATTGCCGCGAGACGCGCCATCCGCATAGGCAAGAACACTGTTGTCTGGTAAGTCGTTCAGTGGAGACGCGCAAGACCTTGTGAAGCAGCGATGAGGTAGTCGAGAGGCGCTACGAGCAGCGTAAAATCTATGCATGGCTACACTATTTGTGCTTAAATGTCATAAATGTGCTCGATTTCATTAATATGCTCAATTTTATAAATATGCTCAATTTCATAAATGGGTATAAAAAATCGATGCTTGAGCACCTTTAATAATATCGCAATTTTAGCAGCTCACAATCCGATGCTGTTCCTGTTAAGTGTGTTCCTGTTGGTACTCGTGGCCGTGCTGCTTCTCGTGGCCTTCGTGACCATCACATGGGACCACGACATCGTGCAGAGATACGATGCTCTTCCCGCCCCTGCTGACCTTGGCACTAAGGAGTTTCGCTGGCGTTGTTGGCTATCGCCACTCACGCGTTACAACTGGCAGACCTCCATTCTTCGCAGTCCGTGCCCGCGCATCACCCTGCAATGTCCGTTTGCGCTACTGTCTGCAGATTTTGCTAAGCTCTCTACATCGTTGAGTCTTCCCAAGCTGTCGATGGAGCAGCTGCCCTTCCTCTTCCCTCAGGTGGCCATCGGTAGCCTCTTTCTGCAATTGTTGGGCAACTCTCACTTTCCTGCCAATGTACGCTACATCCGTCTGAAAGCGCTCACTGTCGTGCAGCTGCGGCCACTCAACATGAGCTTTCCAACGCAGGATGAGGAGAAGCCGATAGCTCCGGAACTCAAGGTGTAAACTCTCTGTTTTTCATCTTTTTCTCACTCTCTCTGCTGTCAATACTGAGGCTTACTTCTATTCTGTTGTGCTTTGCTTTGTTGTGATTTGGTTCTGCAGTGCATCATGGTTTTAACAGAAAAGCGTTTTCTTGAGAAAGAAGTCGAGTTCACTGTGCAGACAGACCTACTCGACGAGGAAGGCACCGTCTGGCAGTCGGTTACGTGGTTCTCCGTACCATTTAGTCAGGAGGCGCTATTGGTACCGCTGTCTGTATCATCATCAGCGTTAGATGAAAGTCTCATGGCTCGAGCCAACTCGAACCTTCAAGTGGACTCTTTTGCGTGCTCGAAGCGGAATCTGACGGAGTATGAAGAGGTCAGCGTAGTAGGCCTTACCCGATCGCGATCTAGCAAAGGAGACACGGTGCCGTTAATGTGGATGCTGGCGCGTGCGACTGGCGTGCTGCAGCAGCAGGGCCGTGTGCCGCAGTTGCCAATGATGTGCAATTGTGCTTTTAAAGAGGATGTCTCCGTACCGCTGCAGAGGAAAATCCATTTGCAGTCTTGGACTAGTGAGGAAGATACCCAGCAACAGCCAGAGGCGCAGGTGACCAAGTTCACTCTTGACGCTGACGATGAAAATGTTATGACAGGCATTCTGCGCACTGTTGGATGGGTATTTCCTGGACAGGACGAAATGTCATCACAATAGCGGTGAACACAATTTACACTCATTGCACGAAATACCAAATTATGACTGTGGAAATACATTGTGTGACACACCCAATATTTGATAGAAAGAAAAATAAAGGCCTATACTATACACCAAGGTAAAAAAGGTGACTTTCTGTGTTTTGTCGATAACACATCAAGTAGGCAAAGGTTACGGGAATGTCCGTCGTTTTTTCGTACTATACAGGCAAAATTAAGTGAAGAAAGAGAATATTAGAACGAAACGTGACGTCTATGGTTATTTGTTGGATTAAAAAGTTTGTTGAAGACTAGCTCGTACGCGACACTATAAGCACTTTTTAAAACGCTTTTACACCTCATTCACGTAGTTGGGCGTAGACAAGCTGACGCTTTCCAGTGATCTCGTCAGCTTGCATGTGATTCGCAAACTTTTGGTCCGTCATAGATAAATCAGCCATTACCTTAAGGGACGATTAAGTCACCTCACCATTGTTGACCAAAGCGCCTTTAACAGGATTATGCCGTTATTGAAGAAGAAGAAGCATCTTGCGTAAAGAAGAGGTTGACCCCTTCGACAACATATCTAATGCGAAGCGTGCGCCATTTTTGCAATACATGAATTGTTCAATTTGGTAGAGGTGAACAGCTCACGGTACGAATAAACTGGCTGTAAGGTTTGGTAGCAAGTAGAATAATAAAGCCCTTTCCAACATCACACTTGGTGCATAATATCGTTGTGCGAGACGAGCACCAAGTGGGCGTCCGATAACTGATGGCTTGTATCAACCAATATACAGCAATATACAGCAAACGATCAATATCTTGGCTTGATTGGTACTCATGTTTTTATTTTACTGTACCACATTCTTTATGTTCTAGTAAATATGTGAAAAATAGACCGTCTATTCAAACATTAAGGATTGGTAAGATGTCTGGAGTGCTTCTACCAGGACTTCATCATTCTTCGCCTCGCTGGCTCAATTGCTGGCTCGAGACGTCGGGCGTCACGGGGGACACTCCGAAAAGGGCACGTGGAATCGGATATCCAGCCCGAGGTGTAAACAGTGGCTCAATGATCGCAACAAGCGCCGGGCACCACACCGATCAGTCCCGATCGACCGCTGATGCACCTGGACGGGGCCGATCAATTCACGTTCTTGGCAAGTTCGCTTCGTGGGACCGGGATTCGCGCTCGGCGATCGAGTCGGCGGCTTGAAGGCTGACTTAGAATAGCAGGAATTATCGGGGAGAGAGGGAAGGATAACCGCGGTCGTCGTTCTCTCCCACAGGGTTGGTGCTCCCCTTACGGTTCGCACGCTGCGCTTGCCCCCCATAGCGCACGCAGCAGAGGGAAAACCTCCCCCCTCTTATCCTGGGCCTCCCGTTGGTTGACCGGCTTTTTGAAGGTCTTCGTCTCTTGGCCGTTGTTGCTCGAAGGCGCAAATTGGGAAGTGATGTTTTAATAAATATATTTTTTTAATTTTCATCTTGTGCTCGGCATTTTCATCTTGTGCTCGGCATTATTGGTTGAGTACGATTTTCTTTGATTGTTTTGCTACGTCAACTGATCTTAATATTGTTCATTCAGAGCCAATACATCACCACAAGTATAACGTTCTGCCAGCAAAGGATGACGCCAAACTCAAATCCACAAAACATTGGACAGCTCTTTTGAATGCATGTTGGTAGGAGAACACACATTCTTAAAGTACGGCAAACGATGCAGTCAGTTTTAATGCCTGTGTTGTATTCAGAATACAAAAAAGCATCAGTATATAAGACTAAGCTGAATTACAAAAATAGTGACGTTTGTTGCGTTACTAGGAAAACTCCACTATAGCATCCCACAGCATGAGTCCTCTAGCCTACCAATTCGAGTGAATCCTACACCGCGCTTTAGATTGTTTCATCGTCGTTGTCATCGCCAACATCATCGTTGTCTTGGAATGAGGTAACTTTATAGTTGCGCAGGAACCGCATTGCCGCCATCATTTATTAAGGCCGCTAGAACCCTGCAACACTTTTGTATATTTAAGAACGTCTCGATTAGTCAGAACACTTATCGCAGTGTCTCACTATCGCAAAAAGTTTCAATCTTCAAATCGTGTATCTTAAATGGTGACTATTCAGGAAGTGGATTTCTCCAGCACGAACGCGGCTGAACAGCTGCGTATCGCGTGTACCGGGCTTGGATTCTGCTACGTGGTGAATCACGGAATCCCCGATGACCTCCTGACTCAAGTGTACAAGGAAATGCAGAATTTCTTCAGCCAACCATTTGAGGAGAAGCATAAAGTGCTCGCTAATAAATATATGAGAGGATACACGACGATGAACGAGGAGACGCTGGATCCGGCGGTACAGACCAGAGGAGATACCAAAGAAGGTTATTACATCTGTCGCCATGTGCCCATAGATAGCGACGAGATGATGCTCCCACTTCACGGCCCTAACATCTTCCCAGACGAAGCCAAATTTCCCACGTTTAAAAGGACAATGGAAAAATATTATGCAGCCATGTGCAAATTAGGGTTTGAAATGGCTAAACTATTTGCTGAAGCGGCAGGCGAAAAAGGCATCTTTGACGGTCCAGGGATGTTCGACAAGCCTATGGCAGCTTTAAGACTGTTGCATTATGCTCCAGAGAAATCGGATGTGGAGAAAGGGGTTTTTGGAGCTGGAGCTCATACAGATTATGGCTTAATTACGTTACTCTCCACGGATACTACAGGAGGTCTGCAAATTTTGCATGAGGAAAAGTGGGTCGATGTGCCACCCCGTGAAGATGCCTTTGTGATGAATATTGGAGATATGGCGGAAAGGTTCACGAACAAGACATTCAAGTCAACATTGCATCGTGTGGTAAATGTTTCGGGCGAAGAACGCTACTCGGTGCCGTTCTTTTTTGAGCCGAACTTCACGTGCCAGGTAGAGTGTTTCTCAAGTTGTGTGAGTGAAGAGAACCCGATAAGGTACCCACCTACTACCAGCGGTTTGCATCTTTTGGACAAGTACAAGCAAACATACGCCTCTTTTAAGGCCCAGTAGACTTAGACATCCGTCCGACATCTGGAAGAAGCTGAACGTGAATGACTACCCATTGCGCGGTGACACCAGCAGAGATTTTGACGATACCTCGCGTATTAAGACGGTGATAGTCACGCAAACGTAGCCTAGCTTACGGAACATTACACTAAAATATTGCGAAAGTTTTAGTAGCGCAAATTTTATGCTCAAGTCTGTTGATTTATGTATGAAACTTGTAACGGGGAGAGAAAGAAATACACTTTTGTAGCTACATACATCAGCCACTCGATCTCTCCTTTCTTCAACTACACCCATTTCTTCTACTTTGACTTGCGATATACTGTACAAAGGTGTTCGATAGTAAAGTCGACATTATCAAGTTGAAGGATGTTAGTGTAATGATAAACACAACTTTTGCGTGATGTTGTGGAATCACATGGGAAGTATCTAGTACTGCAGATGACGAGGAAAATGATGATTATCTGTTGTAGTAAAGCCATTCGGCATGTGCGAGTCCAACCGTTTGTATAAAATCATTATAAATCGATATCAAGACACCAGCATTCTTCATTTGCTTTCTTCGCTAATATGACATAATAAGAATCAATGGCATCTTTGGTCTTCGATTTGAGTCCTTTCCACCACCAGACAGGCAAGTCACCGTCTCTAGTATTGCAGCTATCGGCGCCTCCAGCTAAAATGAGCTCTTCTTCATTCAAACGCGGATGCAACGATCTCTTCTTTTTCATCCCGTTCCTGGTTGTTGTAGTGGTGACCGCCGTGTTTGCTGCCAAGTACGGCGACGAGTTTATCGACGCCACACAAGTGAAGGGGCTGCCCAGTTCGTCGGGCGCCAAGCTCATACTGCGAATCGTCGGCTTGTCCGCTCTCGCATCCGCCGGCATGTCTTTCATCTGGATCGTTTTTATGGTTCTGCTGGCCGAGGCGCTTATCTGGGTCGCTCTCATTACAATCATCGTATTCAACATCGTGGCTGCCGTCTTGCTCGCTAAGAAGGCGCAAAACAGCGGCTCGACCTTGTACTTGTGGCCGGCGGTAGTTTTTGGACTCTTCGCGCTGCTCGCCATCCTGTACGTGTGCTGCATCCGCAAGAGGATCAAGTTCGCTGCAGCGCACCTTAAAGTGGCAGGCAAGGCCATTTTCCGTCTGCCAATGACGTTGCTGGTGGCGCTCTTGATGGTCAATGTTCAGATCGGCTGGGGTATCATGTGGGTGCTGGGAAGTCTTGGTGTCATGTTCCATCAGGACTACATCAAGCTAGAGAACACGTGCACGACGGACGGTTGTGACATCAAGTACAAGACCGGCGCGATTATCGGCGTGCTATGCGGCATGCAGCTCATCTACTTCTGGGTCACATTCGTGTTGCGCAACATTATCGGTGTCACGACGGCTGGGACTGTCATCGCATGGAAGAACGCGGTCAGCACACCGTACATCACGATGAGGGCATGGCTACGTGCATTGACGCTACACCTCGGCAGCATCTGCTTTGGATCGCTCATTGTGGCAATTCTAGAAACGGTCGTGTGCATCCTGCACCTTTTGTCGTGGCTAGCTGGTCGCAGCGGCAACTGCTGCCTGACGTGTCTACTCTCGTGTTTTTCGTGCATCATTTCGCACATCGAAAGCTTGATTGAGTTCTTCAACCGCTTTGCTTTTTCGTACGTAGGAAGCTACGGCTACAGCTTCGTGACGGCGAGTCGCCACGTATTCAAGCTGTTTGCCACCAAGGGCTGGAGCGCCATTGTGAACGACGACCTCACGGGCAACATCTTCTGGTTGGGCGATATTGTCATTGGCAACTTGACCGCCTACATTGGTGTGCTGATTGTAGACGACACGGACTCACGACAACTGGCAATGTTCGTGTATCCTCACGTATTTGTGGCCTTCTTTTGCTTCGTCGTAGGCTACGGAATTAACCATTTGTTCATGTCAGTAGTGGCTAGTGCTGTTTCCACTATCTTTGTGCTCTGGGGCGAAGACCCGAAGGGATGGCAACTCACTCATCCCCAACACTACAAAACGCTGCATGAGACGTGGACCAAGATCTACCCCGATGAGTATAACAACGGATACGGCAAGCAGGCCGATGCTAACGTAGATGGTCGCGTCTAGAGTCTGTCCACAAATTGTGATCTGCTCCAGTGCATAGAATCATGATCTTAGCAGCCAAAAGACTGGGCCGACAATCGTTGATTACAATCAGTATTCTACTACTGCCAATTTTGCGTGTCCAAACAAGACCCATCGCGGCGATGTGTGAACAAGGATATGAAAATTGCCTTTAGCTTGTTGTGCTCTTGTCCAAATTGAAAGGCCAACGCATTTCTTAAGGAAATAGCTATCTCTACTACACCATAACCCTTGTTGTAATGCAATACCAACTAAACGAAAGCATCACACCACACCACACCACCAAACCACACCACATCATTACACAACTCAACACAAAGACCGTCGTCAATCTGCCGAGCATTTTGAGCTTCTGCGCTGAAGGAGACGTGACGTGACTGGTGTAACAGGGCATCTAGTTACACGTAAACATTAAGTAATATACTTAATGTTTGGTGTGACGGGGCACCCTCCGACTATACTGATTACAGTATAGTCTACTTTCACTGATTACAGTGAAAGCAGGTGCCTCAATTACCTCTCTTACACAAGAGGCAGAGGAAGCTTTACTTCTAAACAAAGGCTTAGAAGTAGAGGAAAAGAAAACTGTATTTAATATAGTTAACTATCTTAATAAAACTAATCT